GTGCCCACAGTCTGAACCACCTTATCCCACTGCTCTGGGCACTTAAGATGTCTGAAGGATCTGGCTGTGTCAGAGAGCCAGGCGTGTGATAGAAGCAGATGTTCGTAGCCCTGGGGGCTTGGGAGGGGTGGGCATGCTGACCTCTGCCTCCTCCTTTCCTGCAGGAGCTGAGCGGGTGATCACGCTGAAGATGGAGATCCCAGGCTCCATGCCACCTCTCATCCAGGAAATGCTGGAGAACTCAGAGGGTCTGGACACCCTGGGTGGACAGCAGGGGGGCAGGGGACGGGACGGGGGTGGCCTGGCCCCTCCACCAGGCAGCTGCAGCCCCAGCCTCAGCCCCAGCTCAAACAGAAGCAGCCCGGCCACCCACTCCCCGTGACCACCTGTGTGCCCCGTGCCCTGGCTTTTCTCTGCCTTTCCACCAACCGTGTGACCCTGCAGCCCTGCTCCCACTGTCCTCCCAGACAGAACCAGGGACCTTCCCTGGGGGCGGGTGGGAGGGGCTGTGACTCTTGGGACAGAGGCCCTGGGTGTGATGGACCCACTGCTCCTGCTGCATGGGCTGGCATTGGAGGGCAAGGCGGTGAACTGAGTGAGCACCCCCGGTCCTGGGCCTCTGGATGGGACGCCGGGGGGCCTTGTGTTCAAGACACCCCTCTGCCCACCTTGCCACATCTTCATCACCAGCAAATGCCAGGACCTGGCTCCCCATCCTCCGAACTCACAAGCCATTGCTCCCCAGTTGGGGACCCTCTCCCCCCTGCCTTGGTTGGTGACAGAGGGGGTGGGCCAGGGGTGGGGAGCCGCCCCCCTGTACATACCCTGCCATACCAACCCCCAGGTATTAATTCTCTCTGGTTTTGTTTTTATTTTAATTTTTTTGTTTTGATTTTTTTTTTAATAAGACTTTTCATTTTAAGCACATTTATACTGAAGGAATTTGTGCTGTGTATTGAGGGAGCCAGATCACAGCTGGAGGGGTCGGGACCTGGGGGAGGGGGTGGCTCACAGGGGCTTCCCCTCACCCTCCACGCCCCTGTGCCCCCTCACTTCTCCTCAGCATTTTTCTCCTCAGTTTTCTCTTCAAAACTGTGAAGTCCTAATTTCCGAGGCCTGCCCTCCCCTCCATGGCTAGGGAAGCAGCCAGCCCCCTTTTCCCTCAGCCTAACCACTGGGTGTGGACAGTTCTCAGAAGTCCCTCGAAGGCGGAGACCCTGGCCTTTGGCATCTGCCTTGGCTCACACATGGGGCTCTGAGGAGCATAGGGGATTTCGCTGCCTGGTCTCCCAGGGGGCTGTCTCCACTTAGGAGCTCCCCCGCAGCCCAGGGTCCAGGAGCTTCCCCTCCGCCAGCCTCACAGCCACCAGCACCCTACACAGGCCCCTCTGCGCGCGCGCGCACGCGCGCACACACACACACACACACACACACACACACACGCACACCCACGCATGGGCTGACAGACACTTGGCCCTAGTTCCTCTATCTCCCTGGCCCAGCCCTGTCTCCACACACTCATACCCCTCCTTGCCCCGCAGGACGGGCCTGTAGGGGGGGTTCCTTCCCTCATTCTTGCACTCCTGGGCTGGTGGGGGGCTGGCTCTGCCTTGCTCTTGCCCCCCTCAGGGTTGGAGTCTCCCCCCCCCACCAGAGCTCGGTGGTGCACCTGTTACTGTTGGACTTTCCGCTGAGATCTACTGGATAAAGTTATATTTATTCTACACGCGCCTCGGATCCTCGCTGCCTCGGCCCCTTTTCTCGGCGTCTGGGCAGGGGGCTAGGGATGGGGGCCATCCTAGTGGGCTCTGGGCCACTGATGGCAGAGGATTTGACAACTGTACCCCCACACTGCCTTTGGGCCTGCCTTTCTGGGTTGGGGTATTCAGATAGCTTTTGGGCAGAGGCAGGTCTGCCCTGGCCAAGCCTGGGGTCTTGGGTTTTAACAGATCGGTCTAGGGACAGGAGAGGAGAACTCTAGGCCCTTGGGAAGCCTGAGGTTGAGTCTGGGAGTGACCCCTAGACTTGGCCTTCTTGGTGTGGAGCCGTGGGGGCATGGGGAAGGGGTCCTGGCTAGTGGCTGTCTAACCAGTTCACAGGACTGGTCTGGACTATCCATCCTCCTGCCTTCAGAGAGTCTGCCTTGCTTCAGGGCCACCCCGTGGGCAGCCTGCGAAGAGGGTGGAGCTCAGGAGGACCTACCTGTGAGACAAGTGAGTGCAGGAGGTGCAGAGGGGCCCCAGCTAGTGTCTCCAGCACCTCAGCTGCACCTCAAGGCCCAGGGAAGGCAGTGCCCCTGTCCGAAGGCACACAGTATTAAGTCAGTGGCAGGTGGGGATAGGTGATGAGGCATTGCCAGCACAATCCTTTAGACTAAGCCGCCAGAGCACCCAGTCCAGAAGAAGCATTGAAAGCACTGAGATCCGGGCACGTGGTGAGGCTGCCTGTGGTTTCCCTATTGGCCACTAGGTGGCCTCAGCTCCTCGCTTATAGCCTCACCTTCCCCAGACTGGAGGGAGCCCTAGTCTGGGTTTGTTTTTTTTTTAATTTCCCTTCCTCCCCTTTCTTTTTGTTCATTGCTGTCCACGGATTCTGACTCAGGTGACCCCATGTGTTACAGGGGGTTTTCTATAGGGTTTTAATAACTTCTTTAACAATATCAAGTAAAATTCTAATACTACTTACCTATACACGTGCTCTCAAAAATCAGTGTTGTGGAGAGTTAAAAGTACTTGATAATGTAAATATGTAAATACTTGGGCACAAGGACATGGCAGGGAGGATGGAGTAATTGGAGGCCTAGCTCCATTTTTAATGGATACAATTGTGTTAAAAGAAGTTGAAGTTCATTCTGTACAAGAATTCTAGGAATTTTAAGAGTAGAGGTGTAGGTGGGCACTGTAAACTTAAAACTGGGTACATCCAATGTATAGTGAAGGCAGTTATGGTGGCCTGTGGGTAAGGAACTGTGCTGCCAACTCAAAGATAGGTGGTTCAAATCCACTAGCTGCTCTGAGGGACAAAGATAGGCAGATGGCCTGTGCAATTTACAGCCTCTAAAAACCTGCTGGAGGAGGGTCAGTTATGAATCTATTCTGGGTTGATGACAATGAGTTGGACAATGGAGAGTGAACCTGAGCCTGTCCCATCAAAGCATCTCAAATTTTAGAGTTTTATAAAAAAAACCGGTTTGGGGCTCAGGTAATGAAATAGAGGATTTATACTGTTTGGGTAGCTAGTTGTGTTAGTGGCATGTACTGTTGACATGGAACCAACCCATAGCTGACCCTCTGGTGGGTTTTTAGAAGCACAGAAGGAGATTGTCTAGCCTCTCTTGTGGAGCAGCTGGTGGCCTCAAACTGTGTGCCTTTGGGATTGGAACACAGCTTCTTGCCATTAGGGCACCAGAGCTTTCTAAATCTTCCAGCGAGGTGTTGTTAGTGCAGCAGATGTCTTGGCATTCCTAGCCCCTGCCCACTAAGGACCAGCCAGCTCCCTGAATTTTGTTGTCTTTCTATGTACGATGGTCAGTCAGAGGGTGTAAACAGGGAGCATGGCTAGAACGCACCACCTAGGAATGGTGCCATGGGACGTCTGGGTAGGAGGTTGCCTCCCTGTTGGACATTCATTGCTGTAGAGCAGGTCTTTGCACTGCAATACTGACCATTTGGGCCACAGTCAGGATTTCCTTAGGAATATGTGGATGGCAAGACTCCAGTGTTCTTCAGGAAAGATCAAACTCCGAAAACATGTCATGTTTGCGGGAGGGAGAGTGAAAGCAAAAGGAATCCTTAGAAGGACTGACACAGCAGCCCCAGCATTAGACCAAACCTACCGATCACAATGGTGTGGGAAAGAACAGGTTCTTTTCTGTTGTGTTTTTCTTTTTTAAACAAAGTTGCTGTGAATCAAGAGTCTCAGAACTCATCTAGTGGACGTATTTAGAAAGGTTCCCTGTCTGCTGTGTAAGCACAAGGAGGGAAGCCACGGAAGAGGCATTTGTGATAGGGGACAGAGGAGATGGTGTGGGCGAAAATGAGCGTGGCAACCAGCTCTTGTGGCTCTGGTGACCAGAGGTGCAGGTGGACAGTGACTGAAAAATGAGGTGAGGAGGAGATGGGACAAGGACATGAGGCGCTCGGAAGACCACTCTGGATGTCTGGGGGGAGAGTGTGGTAAGCCGGAGGGTGAGGCAGGGTCAAGAGTTTATGTTTTGTGGGGAGGTTGCTGAGGATGGCAGGGATATAATCATGTTTAGATTAGGGGGACAGCAAGACAGGAAGATACAGATGGCAGAGAGAAAGGAGGAATGCCCTGCCCTCCCTCCCATCCCAGTCATCTTAATGGAAAGGGAGGCTTCCCTCCAAGGACACAAGGTGGAGAGTGAATGGTGCTCACAGACCCTATAGGCTCGAGACCCGCCCAGTCCCCGTGTGGGGTCCTGGACCAGCAAGCTCTTCTGGAAAGTCCTCAGATACACCGGGTTTGCCCAGTACAGACCGAGGGAAGGCGCTGCGGGTGCTGTTGGCTTGGGGTTCTGGCCACTTCGTGGTGCACAGCAGAGATCACACAGTTCATAGGGCCATGCAAGTGACCGCACACAACACAGAGCTGATAAGAGGTGCCCGCGTGCACTCACCCAGAGCCCACAGAGCGCTAGAGAGGTGCCTGTGCGCACTTGAGCTCCTCGTCCAAGAGACGCACGTGTCCATGCCTGTCTGAATAGGTAGTAACTCCAAGATGCTGGTATCACAGCAGGTTTTGTCCCTAGGAAAGCGAGGTCCTCCCCGCTTCCCTCTGCTCTGCCTCTTGTTCTTCTCTCTCAGGCGCTCCTGCTGCCCCTTTCCCTTGCATCCCGGTCAGTGCCAGGGAGCAGCCTTGGCTCATTGTTTGCTCAGGGGGCCTGAATGCTGCTAGCCTGAATGCAAGGGCAGGGTCCTGAGAACAATCTTGGGTAGATCACTTCCTACTTCTGCTCTGAGGGTGGTGGCATCCTGCTTCTAAATGACCAGGTCCTGGTGGCTGGAGGCCAAGGACGCCTTGCTGCGGCTGCTGCCTTCCTGGCCGTCGTTCTGCTGCACCCCGCGGGCGTAGGCAGGCGGGGCGCAGGGGACCGGGCCGGGCCGCGGGGCGGGCAGAGCCGGTGGCAGCGGCGGGAAGAGCTTCTGGGCCTCCTCGTGCGCGCGGTTGCAGCGGTTGTCGCACTCATCAGCGTGGGGCGCGCGGCCGGGGGCCTGGCCGTGCGGGTGGCCCTTCCAGAGCAGGTGGGCCAGCTCGGCCACGCTGAGCAGCGCCGAGAGCAGCCCCACGGCGAAGTAGAAGGCCACGAAGACGCTCTTCTCGGTGGGCCGGCTCACGAAGCAGTCGACCGTGTGCGGGCACGGCGGCCCGGTGCACACGAACTGCGGGGCCACGCGGAAGCCGTAGAGCAGCGTCTGGCCAGCCAGGAAGCCCAGCTCGGCCAGCAGGCGCAGCGCCACGCTCAGCAGGTAGCAGCGGCGCGCGCGGTGGGCGCGCTGAGCGCACGGTGCGCAGGGACCCCCCGGGCGGTCGCGGGCACACGGCGGCCCTGCCTCGGTGACCCCGCCGCCCGCTTCCGCCAGGCCCGGCTCCTTGCCAGCCTGGTGCATGGAATAGATGATAAACAGCACGGGGGGCGCCGAGAGCAACAGAATGTGGAAGAGCCAGAAGCGGTAGTGGGACACCGGGAAGGCGCGGTCGTAGCAGGTCTGGCGACAGCCCGGCTGTTTGGTGTTGCACACGAACTCCTCTTGCTCGTCCTCGAACACCGCGCCGCCCACCGTGGCCAGCACCAGGATGCGGAAGATCAGCATAACTACCAGCCACAGGCGGCCCATGAGCGGCGACTGCAGCTGCACAGCGTCCAGCAGTGAACCCAGGAACGCCCACTCCCCCATGGTGCTGGGGACACGCAGCGCAGGAAATCAGGAACCAGGACAGAGCAGAGACGGCCCCGGCCCAGGCTCTCGGAGTGACACGTCTAACTTCGGGGCGAAAGGGGGAGTGGGAAGTAGGGAGGTCAGCTAGCAGGGATTTTGTGTGCGCCAATGTGTTAATGGGGTAAGAGGCTCCGAGGTTATAGTAAAATGTGGGTCCCTAACTCCTGAAGGAGCCGAGAAGCCTCATCCTGACTTTTTAGTAGACACCCATGGGCCTGCTTGGTTAGATCCGGGGATTCCCAATCCCAGATTCTGAGGAAGGAATTGCCAACATCAACAGCCCCTGACTTTCACTGTGGAAGTGGACGCTTAGGGGAGACTACTATGTGCTCAATGATGCTGTCCACTATCCCAGGGCTCCAACCCCCACAACTTGATGCCTCTGGGAGGGTGCTGGCCAGGAGACCGCTTTTCTCCACTGACCTTTTCTCTTGCTCTTCTTACTGTAATGAACTCTCAGGACTGAGGCTGACACAGGTAGAGCCACAATTTACTGTCCCATAAGTCTGTTAAGATCCTTTTTCCTAGGAGTCCCAGCCACTGGTGGGAATGTGGGCTCAGCCTTCTTCCATCTCCTTCTTGGAGTCCCCCTAGTCTCCCTCATCCCTCCCCCCACAGGTCAACACAGCCCTGCTATCCCCAGACCCTCATCTCCCTGCACTCACCTGCTGCTTGTGTCTGGGGCATCAAGAGTAGAGTGCTGGGACTCAGGAGATGGTTGGGACCTGACCCTCCTGGTCTTCTTTCATTTTCCCTTTCGGATTTGGCTGGGATGGATGACAGGATGGGATAGCAGAGCGGGGGTAGAGCTCTCCCCCTTCTCTTAAAGCGACAGGGTGACCCAGCTAGCTGGCTCCACCCTAGGGGATAGATACAGGGCACACCCCTTGTCAACCTTTGCTAACCTTTCTCATCCATCTCCACCCTATGGCTGTGTCCATCTGGGTTTGGATTAACCAGGACCACATTCAGAGCACCTCAGAGTTCATGCATGGAAGCTCTGCTCCCAATAAATGTCCCAAACTGGGAAGTCTGATGCTCTGTTAACTGACTGTCCTCTCCAAAGGACAGGCTGGAAGGAGGTCCAGCGCTGACATTAGGAGCATTGTTATTTTAAGAAGCATCTCAACATTTAGTAGGCTCTGGTTCCAGCTCTGCCTCTAATTTGACCTTGGGAAACCACTTAGCTCTTCTGGGCCTGAGTCTCATTTGCTAACTGAAAAGGTTGGATTGCCTGATTTCCTTCCAGCTCAGTCTTAATGCTAAGGATATTATCTGTATTCTTAATGGAAGATTGTTAGGCCTTCCTTTTGAGGTCTCGCCAGGTGGACTTGAACTGCTGATTTTTTAAATTAGTAGCCCAGTATGAATTGTTTGTGCCATTTAGGGAAAAACCCCACACCCAGAAAAAAAATTCCATATGGAAATATTAAGGTACCAAGAGTGGTTGCCCTGATGGGTAAATGAAAACTTGCTTCTTCCTGCTTTTCTGTTAGTTTCCCTATGTATTGTATTATGAGTATGGAGTATATTATAATGAAAATTAACTAGAAAAAGACCCTTCAAAGTTCAGAATTCTTTACCCATAACTGTCTTACATGGTGGACTCTACCCTATAGAGGGGTTTAAGGTGACCAGTGGCAATCTGAGTGGTCAGGAAGGGGATCCTCTGAGGTTGGGAAGTTTTGACTCTCCATGTGCCCAACGGGAACAGTCCTGCCCCTTCACCTGTGCACCTGCTCTGAACCAGGCTGTGTTGAGCTATCACACAAATGAATTGAATGCTCTTAATAGCCTTCAGCTGGGGAAACTGAGTCTCACAGTCTAAGCCTCTTGTCCCTGTATACAGCCAGTAAGTAACTGGTCCTGCCTCACACCTGGGGGGTGGTGCTGAAAGGCCAGCCATTCCCGCCCTCCCTGAGGGAAAGGGCCAGGCCTTGCCACCTTGATAACACGTCATCTCAGCTACAGGAGTGTGGTGTGCTCCATCACCTCCCATGGCAAAGGAGCCCTTTCCAACATGGAAAAATTAGGTTAAATAAATCCTTACTGGGTGTGCAGGGAACCCCTCCCCAGCCTGGTCCCTCATGCAGAGTTCTCTTGGGAGTGAGACTGGTGGGTTAGGGGTGGGGAACTACCCTGGATAAAGTCCAAACAAAAGAATACGTGCTAGAGCCCCCAAAACAGGATGTGGGGTGGCTGCCTCCATATTCCGGACAACTGTTCCCTGCCCTCAGCGATGAGGGTTCAGGGGCATCTATCTTTTGCCCAGGAATGGTCCTGTCCCCACCCTTGTAGCCCTAATTCCTGTTGAGTCAGGCCAACCAGCCTGGAAAAACACCATCAGGCTTGTGTGACTGTGAAATTAGAAAGAGGGGAGTGGTGGGCTATGGTGGGTGATGGGTGGAGAGCCTACAGTCGCTCCTTACTGTTCTCAGTTCCTGCTGCCACAAGGCCCTGCACAGGAGACTACAGTCTCTGGGGCTTGTCCTTCTCTCCAGATAGTGCTAAGAGGGTGTCACTGATGCTCTACAGAGCTGGCAGGGACATAGGCCCCTTCTTGGCTACTCCTGAAGCCTGGTTGAGGCCTGTTTTGCCTGGTTCACATCCAGACTTTGTCCTAGACACCTCACCCTGGTTCTTCCAACTGCCTGTTGTGCTGCAGCCATTGTCATTTGAACACAGATGGACAAGTGCAGACACATACTTGTTTGTTCCTAGTATGTTAACACTGGTGACATATAAAGAAAAGTTCTATTTTCTATCTTCCTTTCTATTCCCCCCCCCCCCTTACTAATATTTCTGGGTCTGAAGGACTGCCATGGGGGAAGGCCCTGGAAAGTTACTGGGAACAGAAAACCAATCACCTATGGATTGAGCTTCCTTTATTCCCCATGAACAGGTGAGTGGATAAACAAGTCCATGCAATAGAATAGTCAACAAGTGAAAAACTGGTGTGGGGTAATCCATAGGAAGTTGTGCTGCTAAACCCAAGGCCCTGCCTCTTTGCCATTCCAAATACACCATCAGCTCTCTGAAGAAGGGAGATAGATAGATGGCCAGTCATGCATACAACATGAATGAATTTAAAAAATGGAGCTAAACACATAATGGATACCAATTATTTTAACTTCAGTGTGGATTACATCTCAACATAAAGAGAAATCCTCACTAGACAAATACAAATATCAAAGAATCAGATTTACTTTTACTTGGACTCCCATGAAAATCATATGACATGATTACATTGGGCAAGTAGCGGTAAACGCCTTCTTTAAAATGTGAAAAGCCAAGATGTCACTTTGAAGACTCAGATGCACATGACACAGGCCATGGTAGTTTTAGTTGCCTGCTATGCAGAATAAGGAAAGATGATGCTTTGAATTATGGTATTGGCAACGGGAAGTGAATATTCTGTGGAATCTAGAAGAAGAAATAAATATGCTGGGAAGTATGAGGATGGTAAGCCTTCATCCCCTGCACTCTGGGCAGGTTATCAGGAGGACTCAGCCTTTGGAGAAGGACATACAACATGCTTGGTAGAAGATTAGCAACAGTGGAAGACCCTCAAGGAGATAGTAGCTGTGCTGAGGATGGTACAGGATAGTTATATAGGGATATTTTGAGTTAGAACTGAGCTGACAAACATTTAACACCAACTAGAAAATTCTGTTTATGGGATTTTAGAATAACAATATGTAAAACATTTTGAAAGGAAAAATTTTTTCTTACACATGTACAAAATCTCAGACAAACCTGATTGGCCTCAATTAGGTTATAGTGCACATTTCTCAGACCTATCACTGTGGTTAGGGGTTGTCAGGCCCACTAGAATTTAAAAGGAACATATGAAGTGGAGAAAGCTTTATTTTGGAGTAAGGAAAGGGTACATTACAGGGACAAAAAATGAGGAGGACAATCAATGAGTTATAATTTTTACCTTTTATTTAAGTACAAAATTGTTGGAATGATACAAATAGAAAAAAACAAAGTACATATTTACAAAAACATTGATAACACTGAAGTTACATATAAAACAATATAGTTACAGTCTTAAGATTCACAAGTTGAATTATGGAGATGTCACAAGATGGGTATAACAGTTCACTTTTGAGCATGACATTGATGGGAAATGTAAGATCCAAGAGAAGATAGCAAAAGTGTGCCAATTAATAATTCTTCACTATTCTGTAATCTGGTGCTCTTCAAGAATTAGTAGATTTAGAGGCAGCCCAATGGGACAAGTCAAGAGTTGAGAGAGTCGTATGATAGGTCCAATTTACCTCATTCTATTGACTATGTTGTAGAATCAAGGTGGGTTTTGTTATAATATTTGAAGGCTATGAGCAATTTTTCATAAGCACACTATACTCCGAACAGGGAGTATTTGTATCAGAATTACAATGTTCTACCCAATGAAGAACTACTTAAAAGAGTAAGATAAAAGAGAATTGATTGTGTTCATTTTTTGCACATTGAAAGTAGTAAAGGGACCAATGCTAAATCAAAGAATTCAATTTTATCTTAATAATGAATAAACAAACTAGCTGAAGTAAGCACACAAGTTTTTCTAGTCTAGAACTTACAATCAGATTTTAAAGACAGACAGACAGACTAAAAACAGACCTAGCAGAGAGAAAAAAACCACAATGTTAATGTCCTTACATACATGACAACATTAAAAAATATTATGAGGGTAACTTGGGCTCTATTTACTCCACTCTGATGATTCAAGACAAGAAAATATCTTCCAGACTAACTCAGAAGGGTGAAAATAACAGCTTTTTAAAACCAAGATTGGGTTCGAGACGACCCAAATAAAATGATCATCTCACATTTTAAAACAGGTCATCTTCATCAGATTCTTCAACATATTTGATAGGCTTTTTAGCTCGTCCGGATTTTGCCCGAGGAGCCACATTTGAGTCTAAATCCACCTGAAAGTCACTGCTCTCCCCCTTGGATTTCTGAAAGAGAAAAAATGCCCAAGGGATTTGTAAATCTGACAGTGTAATTTGAATATAAAAAAACGTATCACCAGTACAGTTCAAAGAACTTACCTGTAACTAAGTAGTTTAAGAAATCTTTGACTTAATTGTAAAATAATAAAGATATTTAAACACTTAAAAAAAAAAAAAAGAAATCTTAGGCAACTTTTCCCCATGGACCAAGTAATGGTATACTAAACTTTGTTACTACTACACTAAAAGCTAATGGATTATGAAATTGAAAATTTTCTTTAAAAGTCTGCCCAATTATTGACAACAAAGGCTGGTTATGTGGTTCAAAAAAAGGGATGAATAGGATACTCACTTTGCTTGTCACTGCTTTAGAAATAATTTTCTCAAAATTAGTGTCAGAATCATCAGAAGTAGATGGCTTTCTTTTGCGAGGATTTTTGGGTTTGACAGGACCAGGCTTTTTTGGAGAGATGTCAGAATTCAAGCCAGAATCTTTTTTGGCTGCCTTTGGTGCAGCCCTTTTTTTGATGCCTGTAGCAGAAGTGGAAGACTGACCTGCAAGTCACACAAGTATTCATCATTACCACTCTTAGATGGAATTTCTCAATGTGAACTTTCTGATCAACCTGCTGTTTGTATTTGACATGTAAAAGACAATCTAATACAGCAGAAAATAAAGTAGAAAAAGAATATTCCTAAGCAGCCACCCATCCCCCAGACCCATATTTTATATTAAATCTTTTCAATCTACTTAAATGTCTTGCATTTTTAAGAAACATGGTAGTTTTAGATGTTCTAAGTATCAGTTTTGATTACAATTATGTAAAAGGAATTGATTTTATTTGTAATGATTTAGTTTCAACACTAATACTGAATTTGAGGAATAAAAAAATTAAAATTGATTTGTGGCAGGTAGTTATTCCAACTCCAATTACTATTAACCCATCTCAAAAAATTTAAGCTTACTTTTGGCCGTTGTCTTCTTTACTGTGACATTCTTTTTAGAGACTGGGTTTATAATTTCAGTTTCAGCTGGTAAATCAACGTCAACAGGTTCGCTTGAAGAAAGTGGTACACTCTCCTTGTCCTTGTTGTCGTCATCATCATCATCATCATCAAGGTCCATTCCTCCAGATGGAAAGAAAAATAGTACATAAAAATTAAATATGAAAACAAACTTTCTGCTTTATTTGTTCTGTTCTTTGAATTCTTACTCAAAGACCAACTTTGACTTGTCTGGAATATTTAAAGCTAGGACCTACACTTACTTTCAAAAGCAGTATTTTGGAAAATTAGTAGAAAACGGTTTCTCTTTCTATCATCTTGGAAGGACAGTCCTGCTTATTGACTTGATATAATCCTTAATATTCTTCCCCCCCCACTTTCTTTTTTGTATTATTAATTTTGATGAAAGTTTACAGAGACTTAGGGTTTCCATTCATTCATTGTTGCACTTTTCTCCCTGCCCCACCCCCCAATTTGCTCTTCTCTTTGAAAAATAAAAGATTCTTTCATTGTTATACAATCCCTCCCCAAGTCCACTCTACTATGCAGCCTTCATTCTGGACTCTCATGACAATAATACCTAATCATAAATCCCTTTTAAACAGTTCTCTCTCCCATCTGTTTCGTCAGTATATTTATCCCCTTTCTCAGTCTTTCCTCAAACCCAATGTCAGTCTTGTTTAACAACAGTGGCCAGGCCCTATGCAATATTTGTGACTGAGATATTTCACTTTACATAATGCCCTCCAAGGTCACCCATTTTTGTATAATATTTCATGAGTTCCTTGTTTTTCAATGTAGCGTGTAGTATTCCATTGTGTGAATATACCAGAGCTTCTCTATCCATTCATTTGTTCATGGGCAACTTGGGTTGTTTTCAACTCTTTGCTATCGTGAACAAAGCCGCAAAAAACATGGATCTGCATATATCTGCCTGGGTGGCGGTTATAGTTTCTTTAGGGTATATTCCCAGTAGTGGAATTGCTGGGTCAAATGGTATTTCTATTTTGCAACTTTTTTTAGAAATCACCATACAGCCTTCCATAGTGGTTGCACCATTTTACACTCCCACCAACAATAAATAGGGTTCCAGTTTCTCTGTAACATAATGAGCATTTGTTGTTTGCTGCTCTGTTAAATTTTGCTATTCTTACTGGGGTGAGATGATATCTCTTAGTTGTTTTGATTTGCATATCTTAGAGAATAGGGATTTTGAACATTTCTTCATGTGTTTGTTGGCCATCTGAATGTCTTCTTTGGTGAGATATAATCCTTAATATTCTTATCATAGAAAATTTTAAGTTGAAAATTTGATCAAAATTAGTAAAAGTCCAAGAATTATTTTTAATTTGTTGATGTTGCTCATTCTTCTTCCACAGAGCAGCTGGTGGATTCGAACTATGTGCCTTCTGGATTGAGGTGTAGCTTCTTGCCACTAGGCCACCAGTGCCCCCTTTTAAACTCAAGGGTTCTTTAACTCCTTTGCAAGAAATCTAGAATGTCAATTTGCAAGGATAAATTCCATTGATAAGGGAAAATAAAGAACACAAGCAGCTTTTGAGCTGAGGAATGGCTCGGGTTTTTGGCAAAAACTGGGTGTCCACAGCTTTCTGATCAACCTTGTGCTGCTCTGTAATTTATTTCTCCTTCTCTATGTCGAAGATCTTGCCCTCCTGGTGTCAGTGGACTTTGACAGCTTCTTGAAGTAAGCATCAGTGAGATATTTTAAGATTTTCATACCACTGATGTCAACTTTAGTGGAGGTGGCAATGAAAAATTTCTTGTGTGTTTTCTGCAGGGAAACTTGATTCAGGGTCAGAGGCCAAACCACAAGTAGCAAGTCACTATTCTGGCTGCTTTGGGAAAACAACTCTCTGGTCTTTGTGTACCCTGTGAGGATGATCAGAATGTGCCCAGAATGATGCTAGAGCACAGCTTTCTCACATGCATACTGAAGTTTGCTGTGGCTCAAAAGCTGCTTAGGCCTTCATACTTAGGTATTTTGCAAAGTTTACACGACTTTGGTGCTACTATTCTTATTGTGCCAAGTGGTTTTTGTGACAGTGCAGCAAAAACTTTCTCCTTCTTTTCAACCTAGACTTAGTGGCAGAATACTTCCTCTTGTACATGGCCTTCCTGGAATACATGACTGATCGGGAAAACCTGCCAATTCCTTTAACTATAAAACACATGTATTGTTATGCACTGTTAGGAATGACTCATAGCTAAACTTCCAGTGGGTTTTCAGAGGTTGCAAATAGTACAGGAGGAGACTGCTCATTTTTCTCTCATGGAACAGCTGGTGTATTTTAACCATTTGCATTTGGATTGGCAGCACCGCTTACCACTATGCTACCAGGAATCCCGCACATCTAGTCTCCAAATCAATGTGGAACATTTAATATTACCATCTTCTCATTTTAAGGATGAAAAAAATGTGCCCCAGGACAGCTGTGATTTGCCTAATGTTACATAATTAATAATGTAACAAGGATTAGAATCCAGTCTGTGCTCTGAATGCCTCAGTAAAGCAGGTGGTGGTGTTGTTAAGTGCCATCGAGTCGCAGCTGACTCATAGCGACTCTCATGTAAAATACATACCTAATTTGGCCTTTTTTTGTGGCTTCAGTTCTTTTTTAGTAGGTCTGAAACAGAAAAATAATATATTGTTATTTACAGTTTAAATGTCAAACATGTCTAAATGTGTCAAGCAACAAAGAATATATCCAGTATTAACTCACTTTGGGGAAACTTTGGCCTTAGGTGGACTACTAGCATCTGATGGGACAAAATCTTCATCCTCACTTTTTTCATCAAAATCTGAGACATCATCCTCTGAGTCCAAAGCTACTGTGTATTTGGGTCTTGCTGTTAAAACATGTATGCAAAGAATCAAAGAGGATAGTAGGAAAAACACTTGATCCATAGACTTTATATATATTGTAGCATAACTGGCATACTCATTACTTTTTCATACCTGTTGCTGCTCTCCGTGGCTCAATTTCTCGTGGAGGGACTTCAAAGTTATTTTCATTCTCGCTCATATCTGATTCTGAATCAGACCAGGGATTTCTTTTCTTTCCTTTTTTGATGACTTTAAAAGGCAAGGTAGTTTGTTTCTTAGTCTTGGTACCTTGATGAGATAGGAATCAATATTTATATATTCTTAACAGCTCTGGTAGTCTAGTGAGTAAGAGTTGTACAATTCAAAGGTTTTTATTGTTACATGCTGTCAACTATGTTACTTGCAACTCATAGCAACCTCATGTACAATAGCCCTGAAACCTGTTCTATCCTGTGTTCAACTTTACGCTCGCTGACACTCCTCCCTCATTACCCTAGTCACTGAATCAATCCATGTCATTGATGGTCTTCCTCTCTTTCTCTGTCCCTCCACCGTTCCAAGCATGATGTCCCTCTCCAAGGACTGGTCCCTCCTCGCAACATGCCCAAAGAATGTCAGACGAAGCCTCAGAATCCTTGTTTCCAAGGAGTAGCCTGGCTTCACCATCTCCAGGATGAACCTGTTTGTTCTCCTAATAGTCCATGATATATTCAACACTCTCTCCAGAACCACAGCTCAAAGGCATCAAGTTTCTTTCTATCATCCCTAGTCATTGTCCAGCTTTCTGATATATAGCAAGTAATTGTGAAGACTATGGCCTGGGTCAGGCACACCTTAATCTCCAGTCTGATGTTACTGCCCTTCAGTACTCTAGAGAGGTCTTTGACAGCAGAATTTCCCAATGCAATTAAACTTTTGATTTCCTGGCTGCTGGTACCTCAAAATGCGTTGATTGTGGAACAAGCAAACTAAAGCTGTTAACAACCTCAATCTCTTCACCATGTATCATAATGCTGCCAGTTGGCCCAGTGGTGAGAATCTTATCAATTAAGTGAAAAGATAACTCAGAGATCAGAAAAATAGATGATGCAGATACTATCACTCACCACTCCAAAGTGGATCACAGTAGAAGATACTGGACAGAGAGGAGGAAATGTAGGACAATTAAAAAAAAAAGTTCTAGGTTTACTGGTTCACTAGAACTCAAGACTATGGCTCTTAGTACAAAACTCACTCTTGTGGGTCAACTTTCAGCTAAACAACAGAGAGATCTATTATGTGAACAATAACACCAAGGAGTCATTTACACTTTAGAATGACTAACTGAATAGCGCCAAAAAAGAGACGCCTTTGGCCAAAGATAAAGTCTTGAAAACAGGTAGGAGTAGGATAGAAGGCTTAATAGAAATCAGAATTATAGGGGAGAAAATGGGAAAGGTACACTGTAGGTATTGAAAATTAATATTATAAAAGATATATATGAAGAGTTTAGTGAAAACTTAACATGCTTTGTAAACTTTCATTCAAATCTCATACATACAAGAATTGAAAAGCTGAAAAATGAGCAAACAACAAAAACCAAACTTACAAAAAGGGAGAAAATATTTGTAAATCATGTATCTGATAACAAATGTTGTTATGTGTCATTGAGTCGCCTGCGACTCATAGCGAACCTATGTACAACAGCCCTAAACCCTGCTCTATGCCTTGCCAATTTTATTGCCTCTGACACACCTATCCCTATTACTCCGTGACTGAATCAATCCATCTCATCAAGAGTCTTCCTCTCCTGCGCTGTCCCACCACCCTCCCAAGCATGACATCCCACTCCAAGGACTGATCCCGCCTGGCAACATGTCCAAAGTATGTCAGACAGAGCTTCAGAATCCTTGCCTCCAAGGAGCAGGCTGGTTTCACCTTCTCCAGGATGAACTTGCTTGTTCTCCTAGCAGTCCATGGGCTATTCAATAATCTTTTCCAGCACCTCAGCTCAAAGGCATCAACTCTCCTTTTATCATCCCTAGTCATTGTCCAGCTCTCTGATGCATAGCAAGTAATTGCAAACATAAAGAACTTTATTATAATAAAAAGACAAACCAATTAATAAATGAACAAAAACTATGAATAGAAAACTCTCTAAAGACTTACATATAGGCAGCACATAGAAAGATACTCAACCTCATTAACAAATGCTATGGTATGCCATCAAGTTGGGTCTGATTCATTGTGCGCCTATGGCCACAATTTTAGCCTTAATGGGACCTTATCGCCTGGTCCTACCACCACCTCACTGGTGGCATAGTCATAATGTGTAACACTGTTAATGTCATTAGCCTGAATCCACTAGTTGCTTTATGAGAAAGAGAGACAGTCTCCTCCTGTAAAGATCTGCCCCTGTGGAGGCTTGCTGAGTTTGAATGGACTTGATAGCTGTAGTTTTCCTCTAGGAATGGCTAGATTCAAACTCTAACCTTTCAATCAACAGTGAGTGTTTATAACCATTACAGTATTTTTCTTAGATAACAGAGACCTAAAAATCCAAATGACAAGAAAATGTCATTTCACATCCATTAAAATGGCTACCATATAATAGACAAGGTGTTGGAGACTGGAACCCACAAATATTATTAATAGGAATATAAAATGAGTTAGCCACATTAGAAAACAGCCTGGCAGTTTTTCTCTCAAAAAGTTAAATAGAAAAAAAAATTAAATAGAGTAATCATATAATCCAGCAATTCTACTTCTAGGCATATATTTAAGAGATAAATTAAGTCTACACAAAAAATACACACACAAATGTTCATAGCAGCATTCTATAATAGCCCAAAAGTAGAAATAACACAAAGGCCTATTAACTGATGAATGAGTAAATATGAATAAAGAAATATTATCTGTCAATAAAACACAACATATACAGTGCCACACAGATGACTTGAAAACATGCTACATGAAAGAAATCAGTCAAAAAATACCACATATTGAACAGTTCTATTTACATGAAATATTCACAATAGGAAAAAAATAGGAAAAATCTATAAAGACAGAAAAGTTAGGTTAGGCATCGAGGGTTGGTGGAAAGGGAAGTTGAGATTTGAGCACGGGGACTGTTAGGTATAAGGCTGTAGGGTGATGTGTTATGAAAAATGGCAACAATACAGTATTGGTAAATTTTATGCTATGGAACGGATTTCTCAGCAAAGATGTTATAAATAATTACCAGTTACCAATGAGTCTTCTGACACATGGCCACTCCATGTGTCAGTGTAGAACTGTACTAAATGTTTACAATGGTTGCTTTTACAGAGGTGACACCAGAACCTTCTGAGTAAAAATCAGTAGATACACAATAAAGGAACACCCAACTGTTAACAGAATGGTTAATTCTATTTAATTTACTGAGAAAACCATTTAATTACCAGGTAAATTCTGCTGAAAAGGATCAAAGATCATAGACATTAGAGAGGCTCAAGCATTTGTTAGGCATAACCTACTTCCAAGGTACTCAAGAAAAACGTAATGAACACCCATGTAAAATGTATTAGGCAACAATCTAGTCTCATTTTTATACTGTTTTCCTTAAAATGTTTTAAATTACCTGGTTCTCTTTTAGTTTTTTTCTCTAATCTTTGTTTCAGACCATTTAGTTCCATATTGCTCTCTTGAGGACTTCCTTCAGTATTTTCACTCTGAAAGATAACAAAACAAAAATGGTCCAATTTTGTCAAAATATTTAGAGTAGCATTAATATATGGTCAAATGTATGTACATGTGTGAGATATGTATATTTATTTAGGATAAGATAATTTATATTTAATTCCTAATTTTATCAAGAATACCTTTAAATAAAAAAAGTCCAACTTGAAATGGAGATGTTTAAAATATTTTAAATATAATATTTTCAAGAATATCACCTTAATTTTCCTTTTAACTTTCTTTTCTGCCTCTGCTTTCATCTCTATAGTCACTCGGGAAATGACTCTTCTGACAGATGGAGAAGGCAAAACTTAAACCATTTGGGCCTTTTCCCCCTTTCCTTTCCCTCCTTTTCCAGGAATTCCAACTTGTTCATCTTGTTTTTCCTTGGCTTCAACAATCTACGCAGGGGATATAAGGAAAGCAAGCTTATAAGGTAAAAAAGATATCAAAATAATTACTATTGCTTTATAGAAGACAAGAATTAAATCCATCATATTACGTTTGTAGATAATTTTGTTAACTGTCCCATAACTAGGTCTATTAGTTATGAAGATCTAATAAAATATACTCTGAAAAGGGGAGTTTCTATTGTTTAGCTTCTCTGAGAATAGAAAGGGGAAATGAAGAAAAGTAATTTTTTGAAAACTCATAAAAGAAAGGATATCAGTAATGTACAGTTATTCAACCAATTCACACAGTGTGTTGAACATCCACAATAAAATATGCCAATATGAATTTGTCTCTTAACTCTTGTGGCTTAATTTGGGAAATTAAATGCTATTTCTTACATTAAAATATATTAACAAACACTAGTAAGAAAATTTAGGGAATTAAAGATCTTCCAAAAATATGATTGGCTAGCTCCAAAGTTCTGTGACACTGATGTGTCAAATGCATTAATGGTCGGTTACCCAATGTGGACAGAGAATGGGGTGGAGCTCCCCAAAACAAGCTTGGAAGGAGGAGTGGCATCCACTTCCATAATAGCTTGCCTCCGGAAACCCTATGGAGAGAGGATGAAAGACACCCAAGTGTTGCCTGCGACTCGACAGCACTTAACAACAACAATAACAACAGCTCCAAAGTTGGCTTTGTTCTTTTTAAAATTGACTTGAGGTGGTAACTCCATGAGCTGGCTCCTCCCTTCCTCTTTCAGCCATCTTTCTGTGCCACCACAATGGTGCACATGAACGTCCTGGTTAACACTCTCAAAAGGATCTCACCAGGACAGGCTCCAAAGTCATAGCTTAGTTTCTAACAGTGAAGTCGAAGCATGACAACATTGGTAAATTTGACATCACTGATGATGACAGTGGGGAAAATTGTTCTTAATCTCACAGGCAGATTAAACATATGTGACATTATCAGTCCCAGATTTGATGTGCAACTGCAACTCAAAGATGTAGAAAAGTGGCAGAATCACCTGCTCCCACCAGTCTATTTGGTTTCACTGTATCATGGACCACGAGGAATCAGTTGCAGATACACAGGAAAAACAAATTCTGGAATTCTTTTTCTAGGAATGTAATATACAGTGCAAATAAATGCCTCAATGAGGAAAAAATTAAAAAAAGTTAACTCGAGGAACTGGAGTTGTTTTCCTCCATGTTTATACTTTATCTTCTTAGTCCAAATGAATCCTTCTCTTAGTGAAAAAAAAAAAAAAAATCAACAATTTCTATTCTTTCCTTGGCCAAAAAATTTCTAGGTAGTATAATTTATTAGTATTCTAACTATATTTGATGCCTATTATATGCACTCTGTGTTTCAAAACATGAAATTTCCTGAGATTAATGTAGAAATCTAGAACAAGTTACTTCAAAAGGAAAAAATCTACATACATCTAGTTCTTCAACAAAAGCAGCCAAGTCTTCTTTCCACAAATCTGATGGACTCTTTCTTTTTAATGTTTCCAGCTCTTGCTCCTTTGTAAGATATTAAGAAACATAAGAATTAATGTACACGTACCAAATAGCATTCTCATACAGAGTAGGACTACATTTCTTACTTTTACTATTTGAATACTAAAGGAAGCAACATATGGCATGCAACAACTTACCTTTTCATTTCTTAGTTTACACAGTTCATCTTTCTTCTCCTTGGTTAGATACCAAAGTGGCATATCAAGAAGGTAATTGAAGGTTGGTCCAGAATCTGTTACAGAGCCACTCTTTTCAGTTTCCTTTTCATTGTCACTCTCTTCATTTTCTTCTTCATCTGGAACCTACAGGAGAATTATAACTTTAGTAGGAAATGTGATACCAGAGATGTTATGTTATGCAGTGTTTAGCAACAGAGAAAAATGTTAGCCAAAGGATTACCTTCTGTTGAGCTTCTTTCCAAGCCTTTACTGGATCCGAATCATACCCTCTTTGAATTAGAACTTTAATCAGTTCTTTCTTAGGTTTATTTTCTGTTTAAAAAAATGTAAACAGAATGGTTTATGGCAGAATTTGAGGGAAGGAATAAGGTTTTACTGTATTCACTTAAAATTGAAAAGTAAATCTTTTCTGTTTTACTTCCTGGTCCTTCCCCTAAGACACTGACAAACAGACATCACCACAAAGGGGCAGTCACATCATAAATGAGGTTAAGACTCTAAAGGATTTCAATTAAAAGCTTTATTGTTTTTAAGAAAAGATGACTCTACCAGTTATACTTTCTAGATTTTAGGGAGCTCTGGTGGCCTAGTGGTAAGAAGCTACGCTGCAATACCAAAGCCATGCAGTTTGAAGATACTAGCTGCTCTGTCCGTGGGAGAAAGACAGGCAATCTCCTCCCTTGTGAGTTCTTGCCTCTAAAAATCACTGGGGTGTTGGCTATTGGTTAGTTCCGATTTGACAGGATAACACTAAACAAAATTGTGTTATCCATCCAAAACCAGATCTCTTTTGATGAAATTCTCACTCTCATTTCTGTGGGAACGAACTCTTCCAATATCTACTCACTCATTGCTATAGAGTAGGAACCAAATCATAGCTGACTCTCCAGTGGGTTTTCAGAGGCCTCGATTGCATGAAATGTCGACTTTCACCTGTGAAGCAGCTGGTTAATTTGAACTTAGAAGCACAACTTCTTACTATACCTCTAGAGCGCCCTTTATAGAGAATTAGAACTTCCAATATTTCTTGAGAATATAATGACTTGAATGTAGTATGGATGGCCTAGTGGAAAAGGAGTCGCTCTGTCAACCCAAAGGCAGGTTGTTCCAATTTGATGAGCAATTTCCTCTTAACGTAACTTATGGCCTCTGAAAACCTGCTTGGAGTCAACTCTGATTCAATGGCAACAGGAAATTATAGAAAGAGTACCACCAACAAGTCACACAGGTGACTTTTAGTTCATAGGTATCTGTTAAGTTTAATGTTTCCTAAATTCTAGTCAATTGAGTACATTTACCTTTTTTCTTTGAGACATATTCCATATCACTCATTTTTACCCTTACCTTAAGCAATATCTGTAAAATTAGAGTGTTAATGTAGTAATTTTAAAAGATCCATAATATTTCATTGTAACATTTAACTATTAGTAGTTATGTTACGAAGTATCATAAAATTCTTCTGGAATTACCACTAACATGCATTTCAGAAACCTTGATGGTATATTGCTATGTGTTGGGATACTAATGAAAAGGTTTTAACTTAAAAGAAAAAAGAAAAAGGTGGTTTAGATTCATAAGCTTCTCTGAGGAGATAAAGCTAGTTTAGGCTTCATAGTCTCAGAAATTCATGGTGATGGACAATTACTATGAGTTGGATTTGATGGCTGTGAATTTAGTTTGTGTTACCATAACCATTAAAATTATCTAGCTTCCAGGGAGCTCTGGTGGCCTAGTGGCAAGAAGCTGCACTGCAATCACAGAGGTACACGGTTCGAATCCACCAGATGCTCTGCCGGAGAAGGAGGAACAATATCCTCCTGTACCAGTCAGATCTGATTTGATGGTACAGCATACAAAATAAAAAAAAATTATCTAGCTTCCCTATTTCTTTAGTTTGCCCTAGCCAGAGCTATTTCTTTAAAAAACCAAACCAAACAAAAAAAAAACACAACCCAAACCAAAACAAAACCCAAAACAAACTGACCAATTTTAGTGAAGAAAAATATTACATGATTTATTTTTCACCAATCTGTTTTAGCACATTTCTAACAACAGAATCACCTGCCCAATTCAGTATTATGTCACTGTAGTAATGGACTCAAGTTTTGACAAATATGGTGTAGTACTCTATTTCAGATTTCTTCAAGGATGGGCAGTTGTTGGTGAGGGTGACCAACTTGGCTTTTCCTTGCCTGATATCTTTAGAGTAGGCTTGTACCCCAGCACGTATTTTCCACTTATGACAAGTTGGAAGCTATAAGTTGGTCGATTCTTTTTCATCTTTTTTGCCGCTACCATCTTCTCGCCTTCGGTATGACATCTTAGGCTGACATCTGCCAGCAAAATGAGCTATTTCTTGAAAATCTACTTTTACCTCAGCTTCAGGCGAAACTATTTGCTTCCTGGTCAGTTAAACCATGACTTAATTCTTAATTGTCTCTAGAATTTCTTTTAAAAAAGACCCTTAAGGCATTAGATTCTCCAGCCTTGAGGATATAATTTACTTAAAGCCACTTAAAATCTTTTCTGCCTCTCATTGTTAGGTGCTGCTGAGTTGAGTAGCACCCATATATGGACAATAGATTGTGTGCCATCCTCACACTTGCTGACATACTACAGCCATTGCAGCAGTTACTGTGTCAATCTATCTGGTTGAGGGTCTTCCTCTCTTTCACTGATCCTCATCTTTTCTCCCTTATTCCCTTTCTATTAGAGACAGGGCCTTCTTCTAGTTTCAATTATTTTCCTTTTTAAATATCAACTATTTAATCAATCCTATTTAAATTTCAAAATGATGAATCTAAGAAAACGAATCTCTCTCAAACTATTACCATCTAATCATGTATTTGAAAAGGATATCAATCTAAGCAATCAGTTGAATTAAATGTATTTTGTGCCTTTTCTCCATTACAAACATTAAAAAATGTTTAAAAACTTGAGCATGCTTACAGTTTTAATACGCAGTTATTATTCCAGAAACTTACCAATGACTATTTTGCCATCTATTTTCTCTAAGATAAATCGAGCTTGATTGTTCAGTTTAGCAGATTCAGCACCAAGCATTCCTAGAAGCCATTCTTTTCGTAGTCCATAATATTTAAGCCGGAGTTCAAAGAAGTCTCTTAGAATATCCAGTGCTGTGTCGTACTTCTTTAAACAGCCTACATGGTCAAAAAGAACCTAGAAAACAAGATTAGAGCCAGGATTAGGTTAGTAGGTTAAGCTTTACTAAAATAGCCTCAGAGAAATTACTTTATTCATTAAAAAAACAGAAGAGTAGTCTATGATACTGGTTTTTTTTTAAAATTTTACATGGATATAATCTTTCATAAACACAGAAACATGTATCTCTCACATTATGAGACATACCATCGAGTTGCAAGTGAGACTAGTTTGGAGCTTGAAGACTTTGTGTAATCCAACTCTCTCTGCCTCTGCTAGTTTTTCTTCAGTCATCTTCACAACAAACTTCACAGTGGTATCAGTATGATATTCCCTATAGTCTGTTATGAGAGGGGGTGTCTTCTCAGTGCCATTCAACATGGGCTCTAGAACCTGTTCTTTGTATGTCTAAAGAAAGAAAGATTTCTTTCATAAATTTCTAAAACAAAGGTTCCTGAATACTTAATAAACAATAGTAAATAAAAAATCCTCCCTCCTCCAATCAATGTTATTTACAACTTCACAAATATCACTCAGGGAGAAAGAAATCCAACTACGTACCTGGGTCCATGTTCTGATAGGAAGCTCTGAGATTTCAATGGTTGTGGAATTAAGAATAGCCACTTCACCACTAATCACATACTGATTTGAAGCCAGTTCTTCAATAGTACCCTTAAAGTTCTTATAACTTGGAAGCTAAATTGATATTAAAAACAAATAAAACAATGTTTTCTAAATGTGAAATAGTATAGAAATTACAACAGTGTTAATTAATACTTTTAATACTAAAATATGAAATACTTTTGTGTCCTCTTAACAAATCAAAGAGAAACTAAGGTACTCTGAATAGTTACCATTGGTAAAGGTTCTTCTCCATCCATCAGTCTCCTGATGTTATTTACAACTTCACGAATATCAAAGTTGGGAATTTTACAGGACCATCCAGTACCAATTCCTTCAGCACCATTTATCAGGACCATGGGTATAATAGGAATGTACCATTCAGGCTCAACGCGTTGGTTGTCATCATATAAGAACTTTAATGTGTGATCATCATTTGGTGGGAATAACAACCGAGCTAAAGGACTAAATAAGATAGAAGATGTTAATTTAAAAAAATATTAGCTTTGGCATTTAACTTTTGTAGAAAGGGCATGTTATCCCCTAGGTACATGAAAATTACCATAGTTTAGCCTAAGTAATATGCTTTCAGTAATATTAAAAACGCACAGGAAACACAACAAAGAATTTACAGAAGTCTCAATTCTCAAAGAGTTCACATTCTACATAGAGACTGATAATAAATATATAATCAGTGGCAGCATACATACTAAGAAAAAGAAACAAGGTAAGAGTAATTGAAAGAATGTTAAGGAAAGGTATGCACTTTCTGATGGGATTCTATTTGAGTAGGGAGAAAAAAACTGAGGGAATAAATCATTGGATATTAGGGAAAACAGGCAGAGGACCATTAAGTAAAAGACTGAACAAATAGACATAAGAAGCCAGAGTGACTGGACAGAGATGCAATGAGATGAAATTCAAGATATGGGAGTGAGAGTGCATATCATAAATGGTCTGGCTAGCTAGCCTGATGTCTGAGAGGAGAACAGCTAAAAGGAAGGAGCGATCAAATGTGCTGAATACTGCCAAAAGGTTGACTAAGCTGAGAGTTTAAAACTGATCACTGAGAACAATACTTTCTTTCCATTGACTTTTTCCCCCCGTCCATTGATTTTTCATAAGAAAAAATTCACTTGTGGTTTTTAAGACTTAATATCCTCTTTACACATTATTTATCAACCTTTTACACTAGACATTTTGGACTAAATAATTCTTTGCTGTCTGGCTTTTCCCATGTATTACAGAATGCATTATCATGTGCCTATGCTCATGAAATGCTATTGATGTTATACTGATATTCCTAATTATGACAATAAAAAATGTATCCAGACATAAGGGAAAAGTATATTCTGTTTGAGAACCATTGTTTTATTTATGCGGAGAGTGAGAGAGAGAGAGAAGAAAAAGAAATGAACATGTTTCTAGTGTAGCAAAACAATTAAGGAATACAAAGACGATGACTATTAAGTTGAAGTAGGATTTTTACATCTGATTTAAAGCATAAAGCCACCGCAATTAAACCACAAAGAAAAAAAAAATCCCAAAATAATTAGTAACTCAAGCATTTGCATGAAAGTACATTTTGTGTACAAGTAAATTTTTAGTGAGCTTAAGTCGTTTAGTGCTTCAAATTGAAAATGGCCATTTCAGAACCACAAGATTAACAATCCAATTGAAAAGTGGGCACAGGATATGAACAGACATTTCACCAAAGATGACATTCAGATGGCGAACAAACACATGAAGTTCAAAATTCCTAGCTCTGAGAGAGATGCAAATCAAAACAAAACAAGTATGAGATATCATCTCATCCCAGGAAGAACAGCAAAATTTAACAGAACAGCAAACAACACATGTTGGCAAGGTTGTGGAGAAACCAGAACTCTTAGTCATTGTTGGTGGGAGTGTAAAATGGTGCAACCACTATGGAAGGTTGTATGGCGCTTTCTCAAAAAGTTGGAAATAGAAATACCATTTGACTTACAACCAGGAGAAGATAAAGTAGATGAATGGGATCTTCTAAGAATCAAATCCCTATGTACATTCAAAAACTCCTCCAACAGGGTAAAAAGGGAAGCCACAGACTGGGAAAAAGTATTTGGTAATGACATATGAGATAAGGGACTTATATCCAGAATTTATAAAATACTTGAGCACCACAACAAGATAAAGGTAAATAATCCAATAGAAATATGGGCACAGGATATGAACAGACACGTCACTGAAGAAGACATTTAGATGGCTAATAAGCACATGAAGAAATGTTAAAAATCTCTAGCTCTAAGAGAGATGCAAATCAAAACAACTATGAGATATCATCTCACCCCAATCAGAATAGCAAAATTTAACAGAACAGCAAGCAACAAATGCTGGCAAGGTTGTGGAGAAACTGGAACCCTTATTCACTGTTGGTGGGAGCATAAAATGGTGCAACCACTGTGGAAGGCGGTATGGCGCTTTCTCAAAAAGTTGCAAATAGAGATACCATTTGACCCAGCAATTCCACTACTGGGAATATACCCCAAAGAGACCATAACTGACATCCAAGCAGATATATGCACAGCCATGTTCATCGCGGCTTTGTTCACAATAGCAAGGAGTTGGAAACAACCTGAGTGCCTGTCAACAAACGAATGGATAGAGAAGCTGTGGTATATTCACACAATGGAATAATACGCTGCACTGAAAAACAAGGAACTCATTCAATATTATTCAAAATGGGTGACTCTGGAGGACATTATGATGAGTGAAATATCTCAGTTACAAGAGGACAAATACTGCATGGTACCACTGTTGTAAAACAGGACTGACCTTGGGGTTGGGGAGAGACTGAGAAAGATGGGTTCAATAATGTATACTGCATTGAAACAGATGAGAAAACTGTTTAACAGGGATATGTGATCAGGTATTTTTGTCATGACAGGAGCCTAGAGCGAAGTCTACATGGTGGAGTGGACCTGGAGGAGGGTTTGTAAAACAATGAAAGAATTTTACTTTTCCAAGAGGTTAGTGTACTAGGGGGGAGGGATGGGAGGGGAGAAAAGTGTAACAATAAATGAATGGAAATCCAAAGTCTCTGTAAATTTTTACTGAAATTAATAATAAATTTAAATTTAAAAAAGAAAGAAAGAAAGAAAAGAAATACCATTTGACCCAGCAATTCCACTACTGGGAATATACCCTAAAGAAATCAGAACTGCCATCCAAACAGATAGATGAACACCCATGTTTATTGTGGCTTTGTTCACAAAGCAAAGAGTTGGAAGCAACCTAAGTGCCCATCAAAAAACGAATGGCTAGAGAGCTGTGGTATATTCACACAATGGAATAATATGTTGCATTGAAAAACAAGGAACTCATGAATTATACAAAATTGGTGACCCTGGAGGACGTTATGCTGAGTGAAATATCTCAGTTACAAAAAGGACAAATAGTACAAAATGCCACTGTTGTAAAGCGGGACTGACCTGACATCAGGGTTGCAGGGGGCGGGGGGAACTAAGAAAAGAAGGGATAAATAATGTATACTGCATTTAAATAGATGGAGATAACTGTTTTAAAGGGATATGATTAGGTATTATTGTCATGACAAGAGTCCAGAATGAAAGCTGCAAAGTGAAGTAGACTGGGGGTGGGGTGGGGGGAGAATTATATAACAATGACAGAATTTTTTTTAACCTTTCAAAGAGAAAAGCGAACTGGGGGGAGGGGTGGGAAGGGAGGAAATTGTGCAACAATGAATGAATGTAAATCCAAAGTCTCTGTAAACTTTCATTAAAAAAAAAGTCATTTCAGTAGAAATTCAACATATACTAACCTGAGCATTGTGAAGATGTATCGAGGACTGGCAGAATCTTTGCCACCATGCAGCCTAGTACCAAACTGACCAATAGGTTGCAAAAGGTTCAAATTATTGCTGCCCACAAAATTCTGAGCCAAATTGATAATGGTCATCATTAATGACATCTAGAAGGAGGAAGAACGGCTTAATATGATTTATAAGCTTCTAAAAAGGCATATCCATACAAATGACACTGTAATTCTGTGAAGTTTTATAAAGTTTAGATATCTATCTATCTATCTATCTATCTATCTATCTATCTATCTATCTATCTATCTATCTATCTATCATCAAAACAGTCCCAAACTTAAGACTTCTGGCTCCAAGTTCAGAAGATCTTGCCTTCCAATAATACAGTTAAGTTTTACAAAATGAATTAAAAAAGCATTTTGATAATAAGAAAACATTAGCAAAAACATTTCTTGTAAAGTCATCAAATGATTTGAACATATATAAAGTAAAATTTGCTTTCTCCAATTATAAAAAATAACCAAAGTTAATGTGGAATATATCCTCCTGGAATTCTTCTTTAAGTATGTTGTTTTTTTTTTTACAATAGATAATATTTTTAAATGTTAGTACATACAAATTTATTTAAGCTACATCACTGATGTGTCATAATTTATTATAACACTTCTCTAAACGGTTGAGATTTTTTTTATACCTAAATTTTGACATTACAAAGTTATGATTTTAAAAGGGTTTCTGTTATAGTGCTATTTGGAAATCTATAGTGTGCTTACCTCACCATGATGATAAGATGACATCTCAGCCACTGACCCAGCTAACTGGGCAACTTTCACTTCTCGCTTGTCATTCCTCTTGAAACAAGTAAACAAAACTTTTCTCTGACCTGGCTTCAGACCTTAAATAGAAAAATATGGCAAACATCAGAAATTTAACAATTTCTAGGCACTGAAATCTATCTTTTGATAAAAAGACTAAGTAAATGGGAACTCACCATCCACCATAGATGGGATAGATCTCTCATTATCAGAATTTGAGAACAGGATAAGTTCCTTGTTTATAAAGTCATTGTAGGTTAGGTACGTGGTAGCCTGCCCATATAAGTAATCCTGAGGGACCAAAGAATATTATGTGATCTAGTTTAAAATAAAGAAACAGGTCCTGGGAGAACAACTTAGAAAAATAGCTGTATAACTTGAAGACTTTAATCACGTCATTGAATTGTACATGTAGAAACTTGGTATATGCTTTGGTAACCTATATTCTCAATAGCATCAACAAAATAAGAATGTAAACTTAAAAGTCTAAAATTAAAAATGTTAAAAGGTAAAAAAGGTAACTGGTCTTAAAAAAACACAAACCTCTCAAGACCTAGAATTTAAATGATAACTAAGTATCTAAATAATAAAGGATTAGGGAGCTCTGGTGGCAACAAGCTACACTGCAATCTCAGAGGTACATGGTTTGAATCCAGCAGAGCGAAGGAGGGGCAATCTCCTCCTATACCAGTCAGATCCAATTTGACAGTGTACACACACACACACACACACACACACACACACACACACAAAAATTTTTTAAAAAGAAAAAAAGTCAAAATTCTATAATATGCATGGAAAATGTAAGGGTCAGTGAAAGAGGAAAACTCCAATAAATGACACCGTGACTGCAATGATGAACTTAAGTGCAGCAGAAATTGTGAGGATCAGACAGGATTCATTCAGTTGGACTGTAGGATATTTTTAAGTTAGAACTGAATTGATGGAACCTAATGTCTCATATACTTTAGGGCATGCTGCTGGAAGAGGCTATTCCTTGGACAGGGACCTCATGCTTGGAAAGGGTCAGTGAAAAGAGAGGAAGACCCTCAATGAGACTGACTGACAGTGACTATAGCAATGGCCTCAAGTGTGCCAGAAATAAGGATGACACAGGATAGGGCAGGGCTCAGGTCTGTTGTTTGTAGGGTCTCTGTGAGTCATACTCAACAGCACCTAACAACTTGATATAGAAATATTTTATAGAAAGGTAAAACAAATTTGTTATACAATTAGAAGAAAAAAATGTACATTGGTTTTATCATCTTTTTTAGGTTTAACACATTAACGTGGTAGCGGAAACAAATTGTTCTACATTGTTGTTAAGCGCTGTCAAATTGATACTCTCTCATAATGACGGTACATCCAACAGATCAAAACCTTTTTCTGATCCTGTAACACCCTCACATATCTGTTGTGCTTAAACCCATCACTACTACCATCACGCCAATGCATCACATTAAGGGTCTTGTTTCTCTACCTTTCCAAGCATGATGTCCCCTTCTAAGGACTGGCCTCCCTGATAACATGTTCAAAGTACGTCAGGTAAAGTTTTATCATCCTTGCTTCTAAAAAGGACCCTGGTTGCATTTCTTCCAATCAGAGCAAAGTTGGGGGAGGGGCTGAAAGTGGAACAAACCCGATCCAAGAATAGGACCTTGAGTTTATCTTACTTGAATTGCAAAATTCTCTTGAAAATAGAATTAAAACATTAAATACTGATGACCAAAGACTAGATGAATTGTGGGATGACATTAAGATCATAAATGAAAAAAGTAAAATGTCCTAAGACTAAAATATTCTTATGGTAGCCTACTAAAGTTTTATTACAGAGATGACTATTCTCTGACTTTAATTGGCAAATATTATGATCCATTAAAGTCAGTAAAAAAAGACTGGTAAATTTTGTGAGATATATTCAAACTTTTACCTCTGGAAGACCAAGCAATTTTCGTTGTCTTCTATCCTCCATAAAATGGGTTAGCCATTCTTTCCGGTCATCTATTTGTTTTTTGCTAAAGGCCTAAAATAAGATGAAAAAGATGACAAAAGTATTAATAGTTTCCAAAATAATTCTAATAAACATCTGGCCTCTTTTACCATTATATTCTTACTAGACATATAAAATATTCATTAACACATTTAAATGTTTTAATTAACTAGCTAAAGCAGTGATTTCTAAAATATAATTCAAAACTCACCAGACTGATAGCAGCATCATCTTCAGGACCAGAATATTTGAACTGAATACGATGTCTTTTCATATCTGCAAAATATTCTTTAGCTTCTTTTGATGTGCTAGTGCCCAAACCTATAAAATCAAGAGACCAAGCTTACTCCATATAACCTTATTTGATAGAACATGGAGAAATTTTCAGTTAGTTTCATCACAAACCTTTGTAATATTTGACTTTCCATTTTTTATGATTCGGAGTAGAACTCTTCCATTCTTCAAATTCAGGAAGGCTATAGAATGCCATTTCCTGTTTGTTTTTAGATACCTGTAGCACAGAATACATTGTTTTGGCTTTCCGTATTTGTGGGCCTCCTTCCTGCTATCATACATTTCTAGGATCAAATGGTATAGCCTGAGAAGCAATCTTAATATATCCCATATGGTATCTGGAAAGCGGCTTACCTTTACAATGGGGGTGATAAATTCCTCCAGAAAACGATGTCTTAGAAGAGAAGGCCAGTTGTGATGGATAAAATTAATCAGCAGACCTTTGATGTGGGAACCATCTTGGTCCTAGAAATATTTGGAAAGCCAAAGTATAAAAGAATTGCTTAGAAACGAAATTATCATTGAGTGACTTTCTAGTAATTTCTCAAAACTTTTTATACAGGGATTAAGAAAAGGCTGTTTAAATTTAGATTAATTTAACTGGTTGTTGTTATTGCCATTGAGTCGAGCATAACTCATGAATAAAAGACCTGAATGAAGCCTTTCTATCATCATTTCTCAAAGTTCATAGTTTCCAGAGGCATGTTGTTTAGAAAGTGGATGCCACTTATAATTATAGAATAACAAAAAAAGACACAAATTAAAAAATATCTAACAACTAATCTGACCTGATCTGTCATAATCATTATCTTCCCATAACGAAGAGTTTTCAATGAATCCTCATCTTCATAATTTTTCTTGTACTGAAGACCAACAATCTTAATAATATTGTTAATTTCAGCATTTTCCATTATCTGAAACCAGAAAAAGTGTTATTTACAACTTTAAAAATAACAAAGAAATAAAATAAGAGTAAGTTACTTGGATTTTCTGTGCTACAGTATTTTCAGTTTTTATATTCTAGAAAAACATGAAGGTTTTTAATGATAAAATATACACAATTTCCTAAAATAGCAACAAAAAAACCTGTTTAAACTATATGGCAAAGTACCCAATGAAAGAATGAGTTATAAACATGAAGTCCTGCATTGTAAACTCTATTTAGATACTAAACATAGTTTTATATTTACCTGTTTATGAGAAGCTTCTCGAACATTGAGAATTTTTCCTCTAAGAGGGAAAACCCCAAATTTGTCTCTCCCAACTACACCAAGGCCTGAGACAGCCAACGTTTTAGCTGAGTCTCCCTCAGTTAGAATAAGTGTGCAATCAGTAGAGTTTCGGCCCCCTAAAAGGAAAGACTACAAATTAATATCAGTACATTTAGTTCAAACCCAACTATATTAACTCAGACATGTTAATAACTTTATGATAAAACACTAATGTATAATTCAGAATGTTTACTTAGCAGTAAATGAATATACATATTAAAGTTCACAGTAAATAAATAAAAACCAAATTTCTCAAGACTTATTTCTAATAGGATTTATATTGCTGCTAAACATTTATCTGATTTTATGCTAAAATATTATTTAGATTAAGGAGCTCTGGTGGCCTAGTGGTAAGAAATTACATTGTCAAGCCAAAGGCATGCAGTTTGAATCCATCAGCTGCTCCACAGGAGAAAGAGGGGCAAACTCTTCCTCTGCAGTTTACTGTCTCTGAAAACTAAACGGAGAGTCAGTTATGGGGTCAGTTCCAGACACGATGGTATACCACCACCACAGCACCATTGTTTATAACAGCCAAAGTTAGATCAAAATAGTAACTCTGCAACTGAGTCAAGTATAACTCATGATAACCCTTCACCAGGTGAAAAAGGAATCCTGATGGGGAGAGACTATCATCTTTCTCTCAAGGATTGGTTGGTAGATTTGAACTGTCAATCTTCTTTTTTTTTATGTCTATTATCAATTTATTTAAAAATCAAAAGCTTCGTAAGGATAGTAAGAATTCCACAACTGCTATATTGTATTTGAAAATCTCATCGTTCTATTGGTTGTTTTAAAATGTAATTGTACCACACATACAGGCGGGGTGGGGGGGAGAGAAACAACTACAACAACTGAACTGTCAATCTTCTGTACAACACATAACCAACTATGCCACTAGAAATTAAAAAAAAAAATTTTATTATTTTTTTTTTGTGCATCATCAAATCTGATCTGTACAGAATGAGACTGTCCCTCCTTTTGCAGCACAGCATTTGGTGGATTCAAACCGCGCACCTCTGGGATTACAGTGTAGCTTCTTGCCACTAGGCTATCAGAGCTCCCTCACTAGAGCTTTTTTTTTTGATTGTCAATAATAGGGAATTATTCAGTTAACAGGATTCTCCTGAATAGTAAATGTCAAAGGAAAAATTCATGATATGTAGCAAAACTCAATCTATTGCAGATGATTAAAATTTTTTCTTCAAGTGTTTAATATTTAAACACACACAGTGAAAATATTAAAGCGCTTCAAATCAACAACAGTGAATGATTTAAATTAGGTATTTCCTATAGTGAATGATACTTTGGCAATTTCAAACAATTATATAAGTTTTAAAAAATACAAATAATTGAAGTAGAAGTGTAAGACTTAGACTTCAGAACCATTATTAAATGTGTACCTGCATCATTGGCATCATCAAGTTTGGGAATTCCCTTAATTCTATTATGTTTTACAGCTGAACACTTCTTGTTTAACTGGACTTGGGCTTTAAATTTCACCCAGTTTAGTATGCTTTCTACAATACCACAGCCAATTGCCTGAAAAAAAAAGATTCAAGGATGTGATCAGAAATATAAATTTTAAGTCTTTGTCCCACACCCACATAAATGTTAGAAATAAGTGAAAAGCGTGTTGCATTTAATACATACAGTGTTATACTGGAACCAAATTAGAACACAGAGAGGTGGAAGGTAAAAAGTTTTCCTAAAGAAATATGATTTAAAACCCAAGTGTTTGAATTATTAATGGAAAACTCAGACAATATAGCAATAATATAATGAGATGAAGTTGGTGCCATAGGCAGGAGTTTGTTTACAGCAGGGTTTTCTTGAAAATAAAGATTAAGAACCTATTTTATAGTATATTAGGAAAGAAGTTATGGTTGTTGTTGTTATGTGCCGTCGAGTCGCTTGTGACTCATAGTGACCCTATGTACAACAGCCCTAAACTCTGCTCTGTCATGTGCCAATCGCACTGTCTCTGACACTCCCATCCCAATTATCCCAGTCACTCCTCACAACATGTCCAAAGTATGTTAGACGGAGCCTCAGAATCCTTGCCTCCAAGGAGCCACCCGGTTTAACCCTTTCCAGGACAAATCTGGTTTCCTAGCAGTCCATGGTATTCTCAATACTCTTCTCCAGCACCACATCTCAAAGGCATCAATTCTCCTTCTATCCTCCCTGGTCATTGTCCAACTCTCTGATGCATAACAAGTGATTGTGAAGACCATGGCCTGTATCAGACGCACCTTAGTCTCCAGAGAGACACCATTGCTCTTCAGTACTTTGGAGAGGTCCCTAACAGCAGATTTTCCCATGGCAATGCGCCCTTTAATTTCCTGGCTGCTGGTGCCAAGAGTGTTGACTATGGAGCCAAGCAAACTAAAGCTGTGTACAATCTCAATCTCTTCACCATCCATCCTGATGCTGCCAATTGGTCCAGTGGTGAGAATCTTTGTCTTCTTGACATTGAGCCTCAATCCATATTGGAGGCTGCAGTCCTTGACACTCTGCAGCAGGCGCTTCAGGTCCTCTTCAGTTTCAGCAAGCAGGGTTGTGTCATCCACATAACACAGATTATTGATAAATTGTCCACCAATCTTGACCCCACATTTCTCCTCATAGAGCCCAGCCTCCCAGATAATCTGTTCTGCATATAGGTTGAAAAGGTATGGAGATAGGATGCATCCCTGGCGTACGCCCTTCCCAATTTTGAACCATACAGTGTTCCCTTGCTCTGTTCTGACGACTGCCTCCTGGTCCAAGTAGAAGTTTCGCATTAGAACGATCAAGTGTTCTGGGATTCCCATTCTTCTCAGAGTCAGCCATAGTTTGTTATGATCTACACAGTCAAATGCCTTTGCATAGTCAATGAAACACAGATAAGACATTCCTCTGGTATTCCCTGCTTTCAGCCAAGATCCATCTAACATCAGCTACAATATCTCTAGTACCACGACCCCTTCTAAACCCAGCCTGGACTTCTGGTAGTTCTCTGTTGATGTGCTGTTCCAGTCGTTTTTGGATAATCTTCAGTAAAATCTTGCTTGCATGTGAAATCAGTGAGATTGTTCTGTAGTTTCCACATTCTGTTGTGTCACCTTTCTTTGGGATAGGAACAAATATCGATCTCTTCCAGTCAGTTGGCCAAGTGGTTGTTCTTCAGATTTCTTGGCACAACTTGGTGAGCATGTCCATGGCAGCATCTGTTAACGGAAATATGTCAATTGGTATACCATCTATTACTGGAGCCTTATTTTTTGCCATTTCCTTCAAAGCAGCCTGAACTTCTTCTTTCATCACCATAGGCTCTTGCTCATATGTTGTTTCATGAAATTCTTCTGTGTCTTCCAATTCCTTTCAATACAGTGACTCAGTATATTCTTTCCATCTTCTTTTAATACTTCCTGGATCATTTAACATTCTGCCGAAAGCATCCTTGATTATAGCAACTCGAGGTTTGAATTTGTTCTTCAGTTCCTTGAGCTTAAGATATTCTGAGTGAGTTCGGCCTAGGAAACTATTAATGTATTCAAGTAATTCTTACTGGTTGGATTGGGGTAGGGAGTGTTAACAGAAGGTTCCTAGATTTAGTTAAAATTATTTAGTTTTACTAAAATTAAACCAGTTGTCAGTTGATTAAGACTCATGGCAACCACAGTGTGTCAGTATACAACTATGTTCATAGGGTTTTCAAATGTTGATTTAAGTAGATTGCAAGGCCTTTCTTCTGAGATGCCTTCTAGGTAGAACTGAACTGCCAACATTTTGGTTAATAGCAGAGCCAATTAACTATTTGCACGGGATTCCTCTTACTATATGAAATAGTTTGTATGCTGGGATATTCATTAAATAGAGATAAATTTTAAATATAAAAACAATTTGGTTTTGTATTGACTTACAGCAATAGGAGGATATTCAAGTGAAGATATGATAGGTAAATAGATGAATTTAGTTCAGAGAGTTATGAGCTGAATAATATAAATGGAAAACATAAATGCTAAGTTAACTAAATTCCTATAAGACCAGCAGTGGGGTAAAAATTTCGTGGTATCCAGTATAAATTAGGAAAGAAGTTCTGGAGGCACATGCATTTAAGTATTGAACTGTTAACCAAAGGAATTTGGATCCACCTGAAGGGGAAAGACAAGACAATTTTATTCTGTCCTACAGGGTTGCTGGGAGTCTGAATTCATTCGACAATAATGAGTGAGTGAAGGATAAAATGAAGAACTGCAGTGTGCGAAGAACTGTTTCTTTTTTTTGTTTGTTTGTTTTTTAAACAAGAAAGGCAATGGTAAAGAAAGTAAGGCATATTTATTTTTATTTCCCTCTAAGTACTCACAGCTTTGATGAATTTTTCACTTAAATGGCATGTTGATCCAAAATTTTTGGCCTGTAAAGTCATGTTTTCTTTTGTTTGAGAGTCAAAGGTTGGATTTTCAATTAAGGAATTCACAAATATCCACATGTGATTTTTCACCTGGAATAAAAATTGTTATTAAATCACTAAACACTTGAAGGGAGGGACTATATAACAATTAGAGTTGTTCTTTTACTTTTCAAGGAGAATTAATTGGAGGGGTGGGGGTTGGCAGGGAGAAAAGTGCAACAATGAATGATTGGAAACCCTAAGTCTCTGTAAACTTTCATTAAAATTAATAGTAATAAAAAAAATCACTAAACACTTATTCATGAGTTATAACTTTTCTCTTCTCTCTTGACTTTGAGCTCTGGTGGCCTAGTGGCAGGGAAGCTGCACTGCAATCCCATGGGCTCCTGGTTTGAATCCACCACATGCTCTGCTGGAAAAGGAGGGGCAATCTCCTCCTTTACCAGTTAGATCCGATTTGATGGTACACAAATAGTAGTAGTAATAATAATTATGCTAAAATATCATACCTGATGTGCTTTTACAGCAACACCACCCTTATTCTTCTTCTTCACAACCTCAGCAAGTTTACTCACAATCTGGTCAGCAACATAATCAACATGTCTGCCACCCTAATGAAGAAAAATCCCAAAATTCAAAAGCTTTGTTCCTCAAAGTTAGAATACATGAACATTAACTAACAAGTTCATTTATATCAAAACAGTCAAATATCTAAGTTCATTTTCTATATTAACATCAGTAACAATTATATGAGAAGAGTAATCATAATAACGGAATAATAAAGTTACCTTAGAAGTAGCAATGCTATTGACAAAGCTAATTTGCTGAAAGCCTTTTTCACTCATTGTTAAACACACTTCCCATCTGTGGTTTACTTGTTCATAAATAACTTTCAGTGGATTGCCAGTTTCATCTACTTTATCTTTCAAATACATGTCCACATAGCTACGGAATCCTTTTACCTGTGTGGGAATTAAAGGAGATGGTATTGAAAATAAAGATAGACAAGTAGAGTAAAAAAATAGATTATGAAGATTTTTTTAAAAGAGCAATAAATAGTGGTCATTGATTAGCTATGAAAGAGAACTTAAGAAGACTTATTTAGGTGTTTCTTTGAAAAAGAAACCATAATAGGAAGTTTAAAATAAGATGATTAATGATATGGTATAGAAAAGAAAGTTGGACCACCTTCTGTGCAGTATATACAGCCTTTGACAACTTGCTGGAGGGTGAACTATCAATCAGTTACAGACTATAGAGCAATAAGGTTTTTAGTTTGATTTTTTTTTAGAACATATGTGAGAAGGAGCAAGAAAAAGATGAGAAGGGAAATTTTTTACTTAATGGCTAAGTTCATTACCCCTAACATCCAGGAGAATACCTACTGGGAGTGTACTTCCATTGAGAAAGACTTTGACATCTTTAGTGGATCCAGCAATATCATATGCTCTTCTAACCATCAATGCAACAATATCTTTGTCTAAGCTTTGCATTTTAAATTTGGACAAATCAGGCTGGAAGGTGATACATGTATAATCTTCTCCACTAAAGGGCTTGAGTTCCATCTCGCCAGCTTTTCCCATGTTATTCATCCATGTCTGTCGAAGTTCAAAATAGGAAAGGTGAATAACTCAAGCCATTCCACAAACTTGAAATAAATAACACAAATTTGTAAGTCTTACAAAAAGAACTAGGTGTGCTGGTGGTACTGTAGATTAACCACCAGGTTACTAACCTAAAAGTTGGCAGTTCAAACCTACCAATTGCTCTGAGGTAAAAAGATAAGGCAGTCTCCTCTGATAAAGACTTACAGCCTTGGAAACTCTATGGGATAGTACCATTCTGTTCTATAGGATTGCTATGAGTTAAAATCTACTGAGTGGCAGCCAGTTTTTTCTTGGTTCTATAAAATGACTTAATAGTGAATCTGAAGAATACTTTGTGACTATTTAATAGTTCAAAAGCAGTATTATTCCAATTAACCATTAGTGCCATAAATAGCTATGGTAAAATTAGAATCAAAGAACAAGATACTTATTTACTTGCCTGTTTGAATTTTTTCTTATACTCTTTACTGGCTGTTTCCACGGTGAATTTAGTACTGAATATATTGCACAATTTGGCTCCATAGCCATTTCGACCACCTGGGTGAATAAACAGATAATAATTTATAAGATGGATTTCCCCTAGTAACTAATGTACCCCCCCCACTAATGTATTTTTAATTTCTCTCAATACTCTACCTGTTACTTTCTTTTCATCATCGTCATAATTACTAGATGTTAGGAGCTGTCCAAAGATGAGTGCAGGAACATACATTTTCTCAACCTTGTGCTCAACAACAGGAATACCTTTTCCATTATTCCATATACTAATTAAATTGTTTTCCCTAAAACAAACAAACAACCCCAAAGAAAACAGATTATAGTGCAAATTGTAAAAAAAAAAAAAAACACTCAATATTTTCCTGAATAAATTCACAAATCTCAATTTCTCATAACTTTTTCATATATAACTTCTGAAATTCAGCATGAACTACCTTTACATCATTTTATTTCAGGAGTATCTATCATAGGAAAGATAAAGTAATCTTTACCATCATCTCAGCAGATACTGACAACATTTAAAGTGTATGAAATCACTTATAAAGAAAAGGACTAGTTAAAATTAACTCAACACTTCCTGAAAGACAATCATATCAATTTCCTGGGTCTCCAAATACTTCATCATTAACACAAAAAAGAGCTTGAAATGTAATTTACTTCACAAGTTACCAAACTTACATACAATAAGGTAAAACAATCATTCTGATCACCACAAAGGAACACCAACATTTATTTATTTATTTTTAAATAATAAATGTGTGCTCCGAGCCTGGAGCACACACTCCGTACTAACCACCGGGAATAAAGGGCGACACCAACATTTATAACTGGTAATGTTAAGATCAAATTATTCTTTACCACCACCTGCTGGCCCATTATTTGAATAGCATCAGAAGAAAAACCATTAACACTTCTTAGTATATGTAGGGATGAAGTGTCATTATACTTAGAATTTATTTTGAAATGATTCAGAAAAAAATATGTATCAGATAAATCGACAAAAATGCTGAGAACTGCTAGATCTAGGGGAAATACCACAGGTATTCATTTTAAATGTTATACTTTCTGAACTTTTGACTGAAAATGCGACCAAATTACTAGCAAGCAAATGAAGTACAACTAAGAATACTAACAATTTGATATAGTAAACAAAATGCTAAATAATAAGACTTACGGGTCAATTGTAACTTTGATGCAAGACATTTTTGGGTCCCTTTGCTTGTTGTCTGCAGCATTGACTGAAAGACAATAAAATAGTGATATGTAAGAAATTTAAGTATTTTCCAAAATAAGTCTTTACCCCTCCTCTTTCATATAATTGGGGACTTCTAGTAGCATAGTCTGTAGGGAGTTATATTGCTAACCCAAAGTTTGAGCCTCTTTGGCAGTTCAAATTCACCAGCTGTTCTGACAGAGAAAAATGGGTGTCTCTCTCCTCCTATGCCATTTACTGCCTCAGAAAACCCTTTGGAGAATCAACTATGAGTTAGTTCCAACTTGACAGTAATGAGTTTGAGTTTTTTTTTTTTTTCATATATTTACACAAGTTCAATATGATATTAAAAGATATGGAACACTTAATGAATTTGCATGCCATCCCGGTGTGTGGGCCCTGCTAACCTCTGTATTTTCCAATTTTAGTATTAACTACTGCTGAAAGCATGGAAGACACTCTAAGGTGTAGAATAAAAATTTCCCAAACGGCATCAAAATAGCATTAACAAGGTGTTAACGAAACAATTTTTGTCCACAAAACTATTTATTGGAAAAAAAACAATTTCCATAAAAAAACCCACAAAAACAAACACACACACACAAAAAACAAAACAAAACAAAACAAACAAACAAAAAAAACCAAAACCAAAACCAACAAAAAAAACCAACCAACCAACAAACAAAAAACCCAAACAATTTCCTGGGCCCTTGAGAGACCGTCTCATTTTACTAATTATTAAATATTATTTATAAGAGTAGTACAGGGAGCTCTGGTGGCCTAGTGGCAAGAAGCTGCACTGCATCCCAGAGGTGTGTGGTTCAAATCCACCAGATGCTCTGCTGGGAAAGGAGGGACAATCTCCTCCTGTACCAGTCAGATCCAATTTGACGACACAGACACACACACACACTTTTAAAAAATTTAAAAAAAAAAAAAAAAAAAAAAGTAGTAGCTGTGGCTACAAATATTTGATAAGAATGATTTGACATGTAGATCTTAAGTGGATGTGTAGATATTTAAGTGAAAGAATTTACTCACCAAGAATCTCATCAAAGATTTTGTATAAACCAGGAACAAATGTGACTTCTCTATAGTTAATGCCAATATCTTCATCATAAACCCACATTTGCTAGAAACAAGGCAAAGGAATATTGTTATTTTTTACTAATTAATGCTACTTAATTAGTGATTACCGTAGTCTTTCCCCCCTCCACTAGTTTATTTACAAAATTCGAATACAAATTCTAACAAATTCTTCTTTCAATTTCCCTCACACCCCCCCTTCATCAAATTATACAAACCAATGATTAGTCCCCCCTCCCCCTGCACATCCCTATCCCTCTGCTTCCAGCCTCTCCCACCTCTCCTGGATCCATATACTCATTCTACAATAACGGTTTTATACAATATTTATCCTTGTGGGACTGAGTTAGTTCACTCAGCATAATGCTCCATAGTCTTCTAACACCAAAGTATGATAGCCAAGGCTATGATAACTAGTGACAAACTATATCAAGTACATAAACTTAATCTGCAAAAGCCCACATTTTAAAGAACTGCATGTCCTTAGCTTGGTTTTACCTGGGTCACTAATTCCACGGACCCAATATAGGTGTCTGGGCGGAGCAAAATATGCTCTAGTTGAGTTTTCTTCTGATAGATTCTTTCAATAGACACTCTTTTCTTAGCATCTTCAGTTTTCTTTACTTTGTTGATTTGCATGTTTTCATTTACGGGCTGCCAATGCCAAACAACAGAAAAGAATTGTTAATCATAGGTTTGATTAGACACTCTTAACCTAAACCTATACCAAAAACTATACTTAAACCCACTGGGCCAAAGTGCAAGGTTCTAAGTAGGGGTTGGTGTTTAGTTCTGTGCAAATGTGGCAATTAATGCTCACTGCAGCCACAGGTAATTGAAACAGACATATACCGCTGCACATGCTCTGGGCATGGACTCTCCTTGACCTCCGCTCTAGATCATCATCAAGAAAACACATCCCATAAAAAAACCAGGCGAGCTCTGGTAGCCTAGTGGCAGGAAACTGCACTGCAATCCCAGAGGTGTGCGGTTCAAATCCACCAGATGCTCTGATGAAGAAGGAGGAACAATTGCCTCCTGTACCAGTCAGATCCGATTTGATGGTACACACATAAAAAGAATAAATTAAAAAATAAAAAACAAAACAAAACAAAAAAACACACAACAACCTCCCCCCAAAAAACCACATCTCATCACAACAAGATAAAGGTAAATAACCCAAATGAAAAATGGGCACAGGATATGAACAGACACTTCACCAAATAAGACATTCAGATGGCCAACAAGCTCATGAAGAAATGTTCAAAATCCCTAGCTCTAAGAAAGATCCAAATAAAAAACTATTGAGATATCACCTCACCCCAGTTAAGAATGGCAAAATTTACCAGAATAGCAAACATCAAATGCTGGCGAGGCTGTGGAGAAACTGGAACGCTTATTCACTGTTGGTGGGAGTGTAAAATGGTGCAACCACTGTGGAAGGCGGTGTGGCACTTTCTCAAAAAGTTGCAAATAGAAATACCATTTGACCCAGCAATTCAACTACTGGGAATATACCCTAAGGAAACCATAACGACCACCTGAGCAGATATATGCACACTCATTTATTGCAGCTTTGTTCATAATAGCAAAGAATTGGAAACAACACAAGCGCCCAGCAACAAACGAACGGATAGAGAAGCTGTGGTATATTCATACAATGAAATACTACGCTGCATTGAAAAACAAGGAACTCATGAAATATTATGCAAAATGGGTGACTCTGGAGGGCATTATGTATGGTGAGTGAAATATCTCAGTCACAAAAGGACAAATACGGCATAGTGCCACTGTTGTAAAACAGGACTGACATTGGAGTTGAGGGGAAACTGAGTAAGATGGGATAAATAATGTATATTGCATTGAAACAGATGAGGGAGAGAACGGTTTAAAAGGGATATGTGATTAGGTATTATTGCCATGACAGGAGTAAAAAATGAAGGCTGCATAGTAGAGTGGACTTCGGGGGGCGGGATTGTATAACAATGAAAGAATTTTTCTTTTACTTTTCAAAGAGCGAATTGGGGGGAGGGGATGGACAGGGAGAAAAGTGCAGCAATGAATGAATAAAAATCCAAAGTCTCTGTACATTTTCATTAAAATAAAAAAAAATTTAATCTTCAAACTGTAAAATAAATGGATTTTTTTAAAAAACCCACATCCACAAAACCAGAAATCCATCCAAACAAAACAAAAACACATCCACAAAAAACACACACGCACAAAAAAAAAAAAATCCCACACCAAAAAACAACAACAACAAAAACAAACCAAAAAACACAACATCTGCTCCACAAAGCTCTACTGAGCGTCCCCACCACATAACAGGTCTCAGATCAGCCGTTCAGAGACTAGTTTCACTCCTCTGGCCTCGTTAACTAGCGTTCTGGACACCTAACTGGAGGCTGGACAATGGGGACCCACCATCTCCCCAGGACCCGAGACATTCAACCCCATTTTCCAGAATCGAGAGGAAAGCGCGCCTAAGTGCTCTAAGTCGCACACTGGCAGTCGGTTCGTCCCGAGCGAACTGAATCCCGCCCCTCCAAAATCCAACCCAAACTCCCTCCGGGGAGCCCGTTTAGCTGTTAATCCCCGCACCACAGAGGGGTCTCACCCCGCGCACCACCACCCAGAGCCCGCGAAAGGAAGCTCCACAGAGGATATGGATTCCGAGCCCCTCGGGAAGTTCTGAAGGAGAACTGGGGCTCCGCGCCCGCCGCAGGCCGCACCGCGGCCCAGAAACCCTGACCCCTCGCCGCCCGTCAGAAAAATCCCAGACCGCGCTGAAGGTCCACCAACCAGGCCCCTCCGCGAGCTGTACCTGGAGCGGGGACACCTCCATGGTGACGGTCGTGAACGGCCACGAGATCTCCAGAGGCGATTAAACCTGTGGGAGTCACGGGGTGACACAAGACCGACCACCAGAACACTTCTCCACAGACACGCGTCGGTTAGGGGCGCTCGACCGGGTCTATTTGAACCTTCCTCTTGCCCGCTCAAACGAGGTAAGCCAATCGCTGTTTCTCTTTTTCCGGCTCCGCCAAGAGGAACCAATCATTGCTGGTATTTTCTATTCACCTATGAACGGCTTAGTTGTTCGGAGGCCTATTCGAATAAGCCAATTAGACGAGAGAGGCGGGATTAACGTTTCAAAAGGAACCACTCCAGGTCGTTCGCGGAGAGACCGGCAGGGAATATAACCAATGAAAAGGAGTCTCTTTTGTTCAGTAAGGAAAGCTCTGAAGAGGCGAAGAGCTGTGGAAGTGGGATGGTCTTGACTGAGGTGGTTTCTGGGCCCCGAAAAAGAATGCAAAAGCTTATTTATTTCCCAGCGTTACCAACCTATTTCTGATCTTCCCCAAATTAAAGACTGTGTCCAGATTGTTAGTGACAGGAACAGGAGTCTTAGGTCCATTTTCCTGAGGAAACTGAGCGCAGGCTGTAGTGCGTAACACATCGGGCTGCAAACCGGAAGAGTGGGCAGCTCGACGCTGCACCGGAGAAAGATGAGCAGTCACCTCGAGTTAAAATCCACAAGCTTTGAAACAGCGAGAAGTGGTCCTGGGTCAGAATTAACTCCAGGGAAGTGAGCTTTGCTACGCGAGAAGGACTGGACATGGAGGGGTCATGCAAAATAGAGGACATCATTCAATTCCTCCCCTAGTATAGCAGTACTAGACTGATAAATTACCTGATAGTGATGAATCGAAAAAAATACCAGTAAATCACCTCGTCATGAGCTAAGGAGACCTATAATGGTAAAGAGATTAAAGCTCGTGGCTGCTGACCATGGTCTCTCGGACTCTGTGTCCACTCCTAGCTGACCCTCCATCGGGGTTTCGCACGGGAGAAGGTTGCCCATCTTTCTCCCGCTCAGCAGCCGGTGGATTAAAAGTGTTTCCCTTTAGGTTAGCAGCGTAACTCCCTACAGACAAGGTCTCCAGAGCTTCCTGCTGACCGTAGCTGTTAGGGTGCCATTGAGTCCACTATGCACGACGAAGCTGAACCCGGCTCACCCTCGCTGCAACCTCACTATCTCTGATGTACTTGAGGCCGGTGTTACAGTCACTATGACAGTCCATCACCTTGAGGGTCTTCCTTTTTATTCGCTGACCGTCCACCTTTCCAAGCATGACATCCTTTCCCCCTGGCCCCTCCCAACAACATGCCCCAAATATGTGAGATGAGGCTTCGCCGTCCTTGCCTCCCTGGTTGCACTTTTTCCAGAACATATTTGTTCCCTTTTTTCCTACCAAAAGATCCAAGAAGAGCCGTTCAAATCTTCAGGTATCCTTCTGTGGGAAAAAGAAGACGCAGTCCATCTCATTGAAGATCTACAGCTTTGGGAACCCTATGGGACTGTTCTACTCTTTCCAAAATGTTTATGAGGCACATAGTTTGTGGGTCTCCGTTCCCAAAACCTAGAAGCAGAACCCTGTGGTGCCAAAAGGCCTTAAGTCAGAATTCTGCCTCAGAATCCCTGTCCTCATTATCTGGGAAAAAAAAAAATCTAAGGACAGTCCTTCTCACTCGGCTCCCTCTTCCCTCTAATTCCACCTCTTCTCATTCAGCTCAGCACTACGCAGCTCATTGTTTTCAAGTTAGAAACCAAATCTGAGCTGGTCCTCTGATTTTCAAGCTTGTAGTATAGCAGGGAAGAGATTATCCATCTTTCTCCCATATAGTCCCTGGTGAATTTGAAACACCCAACTTATGTGGTCTTCGGGTTAGCAGCACAATTCCTTAAAGATTAGGCCACTTGAGCATCTCTCTGTTCTTAGGTGCTATTGAATCAACTCTGACTCAAAGTGATCCTGTGAACAATAGATCAGAACCTTGTCCTATCTTGCCCTATCCTCATGATCTCTGAGCTGAGAGGTGGGAACCAGGCTAAGATCCTGCTCTGAAAGTGGAGACAGGGAAATCATGGGGTGCTTTTGTAGATGCCCCCTCCCTCCCCCCTTTCTGTCAAGAAGCTACTTGAACTCTCTGGGAACTACCTGGAGGCATAAGGTGTGGAGGTGATGGCACTAGAGATACTAGAGGCAGCCTAAAGAAAGGAGGAAAGCATCACCAGAGAACTATGGGGAAATGGAGCAGATGAAGGAATGGGGGAAATGGAAAATTAAATCTTGAGCAAACAGAAAAGAGAAAGTGAGGTGGTGTCTGAAATTATTTATCTAAAGATAAGAGAGATGTTTTTCTAGGATTCCTTGACAAATAAGTTAATGCATTCAAGATTACATACTTCCCAGTCTAGTAGTGATACACACTGTCTCCTTAAAGCTAAAGATGGGAGGTGAGATTAAAGAGACTTGTTTGAGAATATTGTTTTGGAGAAGAAAAGGTGGTGAGAAAGGCCATGAGGTAGGAGAGCAGTAGTTTGGAGACTCTAGTCTTTTCTGCTTTGTAAGAGAGACCTACTTCAGTGTAGGTCACTTTTCCAAGTCATCCAGGGCTCTGGGAAGCCCATCCAAGCCTCTCTTACCAGTCAAGCCTGATACATCTTTCAGGGGTTAGGAATTTTTTTTTTTTTTAAATTCACATCAGACTGGTAATGTACTTATGTTGTAACAAGGTTTAAAGGGTGGCACGTGTCATATAGAAGCAAGAACACCCAATTATCATGCTTATAAACCAGGTAAGGATCAGAAGGGTTAGAGATTTGAGACTTTATTCCCTTAGACTTTGAGCTGAGAAGGGAGATAGGACATGAGATAAGGTGATCCCTTTAGGCCCAGAGGCTAAACCTAAGAGAGAACAGGAATGAGGTGAACTAACAAGTATTACTGAGTGTCTTTTAAGCACTAGTTTCAGACCACACCATGAAATGTAGGACACAGTGTCTTACATATGAATAGCATTATTTGTAGGAAAGGGCACAGGGAAGGATGAGTGGGTAAAAAAAGTAAGGAAGGAGAGACTAGAGCAATAAAGCAAAAAGGAGACACATTTGTCCATGTCTAGCATCTAACATTCAAGTTGTGATAACAGGTCGCCTTGAGAACCCAAACCAAATCCCAATGGCTATGGATCAGATGGTAGATTTGAACTGCTAACTTTTCAACTGAAAGCAGCTCAACATTTAACTTACTACAAAGCCAGAGCTCCTTCAGCAGGAGAAAAGGTAGCTAGAAAGCTCAATGACAAGCGAAAGGTCTTCTGAGAATAAATAAAAGGGAGTGTGGAGGGAGGCTTTAGGAGGGTTTGAACTGGGAAGTAGGGGGCAGAGAAGAGGGCTCACAGAACTGGCCTCATTGTCCTGGAAGAGACTGACGCAGGAGGTCCCACTGGCTCCTGTGTTTGAGGAGCTCACCTGAGCACTCATGTGGCCTGGCAGTCCAGGAGGGACAAGGTAGCCTCAGAGGCCAGGAGTTCTAGTATTCCTAAGAGCTCTTCTGTTCTTGGGTATCCAGGATAGTACTTTTATTTATTTGAGTGAAGATTTACAAATCATAATGAATTTTCATATAATCATTAACAAACTTTTTATAACATTAATTGACATTGATTAATATAATTAATTAATTACAGTGGAGAAGAAATTGAGGTTGTTAACAATTATAGCTTGTTGTGGTAAATTCACACAATGGGCTACTACGCTGCATTGAAAAACAAGGAACTCATGAAATATTATACACAATGGGTGACCCTGGAGGACATTATGCTTAGTGAAATATCTCAGTCACAAAAGGACAAATACTGCATAATGCCACGTTGTAAAGCAGGTCTGACATCAGAGTTGGGGGGAGGATCTAAGAGGGGATAATGTATACTGCATTGAAACAGGTGAGGGAGAGAACTGTTTAGGAGGAATATGTCATTAGGTATTATTGTCATGAGAAGAGTCCAGAATGAAAGCTGTATAGTGGAGTGGACTGGGTGGGGAGATTATATTACAAGGAAATTTTTTTTTTTTTACTTTTCAAAAAGAAAAGCCAATGGGGGAGGGGTGGGCAGGGAGGAAAGTGTGCAACAATGAATGAATGGAAATCCAAAGTCTCTGTAAACTTTCATTAAAATAAATTAAAAAAATTATAGCTTGCTTGGCTCCCCAATAAACTGTCTTGGCAGCAGCAGTCAGAAAATAAGAGACAAATTGCATTGGGGAAAATCTGCTGTCAGGGACCTCTTCAGAGTTTTAAAAAGCAACAGTGTCAGTCTAGAGACTAAGGTGAACCTGATCCAGGCCATGGTCTTCACAATTACTTACTAGTATGCATCGGAAAGCTGTACAATGACTAAGGATGACAGAAGAATCAATGGCCTTGAGTTGTGGTGCTGGAGAAGAGTCTTGGATATACCATGGATCGCTAAGGAAACAAATAGGACTGTCTTAGAGAGGGTGAAATCAACTTTCTTCTTGAAGGCTAGGATTCTGATGCTCTGTCTCACATACTTTGACAAGTGGCCAGGAGCGACAGGTCCTTGGAGGAGGACATCATGCTTGGAAGGGTGGAGGGATGGCACAGGAGAGGAAGTTCCCAGATGAGATGGATTGATACAGTAATTGGGGTTATGAGGTTAGGTGTGTCGGAATCAGTGAGACTTGGCTCAGGACAGGGCAGGCTTCAGAGTTGCTGTACAGAGGGTCGCTGTGAGTCGAAGGCTACTTGACAGCACATAACAATAACAACAAACAGAAACCCCTTTTTGTGTATTACTTTTCTCCTGAATGGTACTGAGAACACTTCAAAGCCAGATAGTCCTGAGATCCTTGGGTCCTGGTCATCCCAGGCAACTGACGGACCAGGAGATTCAATTCCATCTTGCCTGGAAGGAGAGGTAAAGGGGCCAGAGGTGAACCATAGAGGTGAGAATGCATTTAAGATTGAGAAACTT